CGAACCCGGGACCTTTACCTTATAGTGATGAGCACCGTATCAACGCCTAAACCGTTGCGGCCACCGACACCCCGACAAGTGGGTGGGTGTTAAGAGAGTGGTTGAGGATTTGAACTGAAGTAACTTGAAAAAATAGTGAGGTCGACGAGAGTTTATGGATTTGTAAAGGGAGCCTAGGAAATACTTTTTACGGGAGGATGGATAAAGCTGGGATAGATCTGAATACATGATATATACACACATGATACTGAATAAATGATAGATCTTAATACTGAATACATGAATCTTCAATAAATAATCTAGACTTTTCTCGAGAGAAGTTCTAACATTAAAAAACGAAATTAATAAATCATTTTAAAAAAATATAATTAGCCTTTCCTTTTAGCGACCACGGTTCTTTTACGAGAGATGTCTTACTTAAAAAGTTCATGCCCTTTCACCTTATTCCAATTGTGGAAAGATCTAAATGTTTCATTCCTGAAAACGTACGGGACTTAATATGTTAAAAGAGAAAAAAATTATACGAACTATGAGGAGTTTTTTTAAATAATTAATTGCCCAACTTGTTAATACTGCATAATTATTCCTACATTCAGTTATCTACATAATTAACTTGCTTGTCCTTCATCCTTATCCGGGCAAAAACTTCCTCCCGGGACTTACTAAAGTTCTGAATAAAAAGTCTCTTGATCATTGCCGATTCCCCTTGCCGGTGGAAAAAAAAAGCTCGAACAAAGTTTCGACAAAATGAAGTACTATGGCAACTTAATGAGTCTGGTCGAGGGTGACGGGCAATAATGGGCAAAGTAAAAAGGTAGAGCATCTCTATTTGTAAAAAATGACTTTTAAAACTTTAAAAACGTTTAAATATATCATTTCCGATGAAAAACGGACGTGATTTTTCACTCGGTCCTCGTTTTCGACAGGTTACGAATCAGGAGGTTTTTGTTATTTGGTAATATGTGGAAAAAAGAAATCTATCCATGATTATGGGAAATATAATTCTACTTGCAATATACAAACTAAAACAAAAGGAAAGGTATTTTACTTATCTCCCTTAACGAACTTATACGTTAATAAATAACACAAACACAAAAATTATCTATATACAATTATTTAAAACTTCTCATTTTGTATTATGTATTTAGTAGTTGACCATATGATGATATAATCAGATTATTTAAAACTTCACATCTTGGTTTACTCCCCAGGGGTAGATGAGTAGAGCACAGCAAAAGCATGTTTCTTATCATTTTAGTAGTTTTCGAGTACTTGAGTGCCTGTCCTTTAATGTTTCTTTCATTTTCAAAAATAGTATTAATGATTTTTCATTATTTTTCCTCTTCTTTTCTTCTTTTCTCCTATCACATCATTTCTCTCTCTCTCTCTCTCTCTCTCTCTCTCTCTCTCTCTCTCTCTCTCTCTNTCTATTATCTCTTATTATCCAATCCTCTCTCTTTCAGTCTCCCTCTTCCCGTCTTCCTCTGCCAGTATGTCTTCTACAGTCTCTTTCTTTCAGTATTTTGCTCTCTCTCTCCCTCTCTCTCTCTCCCTCTCTCTTTCTCTCTCTCTCTCTCTCTCTCTCTCTCTCTCTCTTTCTCTTTCTCTCTACCACCATACTTTATTTTTAACTATGTTATGTTCAAGTCATCGTAGCTTCGTTGTATGGCCTGTAACAATCTGAATAGGGAGGACGGTGGTCCCAACGGTTTTGGCGTTGACACGGCGCTCATCGCTGTAAGGTAAAGGTCCCGGGTTCGAATCCAGCGGCCCTGCATTTGAACCGGACATACTTATAAATGGACTTTTTTTCAAAAACATTGGCACCCTGAGGGTTTCTATGACCTCTGCTGTTGCGAACCCTCGTCAAAAAAAAATCTGAATAATATTTTCCCCAAATAAAATTTAAATTGGCGAATACTTAATCAGAAAAAAACTTCAAGTTTTAAATAAATTTTGATAAAAGGGAATTTTATTCTATTAACGAGATTTTTTTCTATTGGTGGGCATTGTTGAGACAAACTCTTTTTTGCCGTGCGTGTGAATTTTTATTGGAATAAACGTGTGCTAGGTTTGTGGCGTCAGCGACATCATTTATCATCTTTTTCTCCATTACTGATCATATCTGGGTCCGTCTATTCTCGTTCTTTGTTCTTGTTCAGAACGTTTCCGATTCATGGCATTGTTATCGCGCTTTGTTTTGCCGTGTCACATCCAACCTTCAGTGCAAATCGGTGGGTTTTTCTACACATAATTTTCTCATGAATCGGACTTAAAAGGATTTTGTTGAAATTTAGAAATTTTTGTATATAAAATTCTCTCGCGTTAATTCAGTGGCCGTATTCCATTTAGAATGATAACAGTTTCCCTCTTGAAAGTCTCCGTAAATATTCGGGGTTTTCTTTTTTTCCCATCGACACCGTATTTTTACTCTGTTGGTGCTGCCTAGAATTTTCAAGATTTCCAGAACTGCGATATATCTATTTCTACGTGTTTTGGAAGTTTTTCTTGCCGAACTACCCAGACTTGGCCTTTTGCTCGGGTGAAAAGAAATATCTTGCTAAACTGGAATTAAACGATCCCATAAATTCCCTTCCGCCGAATTTAACACATCGTACGTGCTATGTACGATTTTATTGAACAGATTAATCTCTGCAGCAGATGTAAATTTTACCAAATGGATAATGTTTAAATTATGCTTGTAAGATAAGGCAACCGATGAGCTCAAAATTTATACGAAAAACATTCTCAACACTCCAGCACGAAGGTAAAAACAATGGAACACGTCTTTTTGAATCATAAATAATCACGTAACTCCGGTTCCGAAAAAATCCGCCTCAATATCTAAGGCTAAAGAATCCTCTTAAGCTATATATTTCTTTTTTATTTTATAATAAAATAATTTATAATATTACCCTTTTAAAATGTTTATAGTGGTACAGAAAACAACAATGAATCTGTTAAATTCAATAAAAGTAAATGTCTCTGGATTCAACCCATCTTAAACAAGCATAAAGGGGGCCGCGGTAGCCGAGTGTTTAAGTCGTCAGACTCTCGGCTAGTAGATCCCGCGGTCGTGGGTTCGATCCCCTCTTTTGCTTTTGGGTTTTTTCTGACGCCTAAGGGGACCGGTGGCCGCAATTGAAAGAAATTGACACGGCACTCATCAATGGAAGGGGCGGGATCCAAAGCCTGTGTATATGTCCAGCAAGTAGAGAAAGATTGTTCGATGTGTCCCATGTAATTAACCATCCCTAAATAAATTGAATGGTGTCATTCATTGGCTCCATATAGAGATCGAATAAGCATGCTACTCTATATGAGAATTGTGCTTAAGCACAGCATTTCGGTCTACTGCTCCGAATTTTGGAGAACCCAGGGCTGTTTTATTGTATATAGTGAGAGATATCGTGTTTTGCATTTGTTTCAGGAATGTTGAGAGTGAACGTAATTACTATCGTAAATGTGTTAGAAAGTGTAAAGGGGGTGGAATATTGCGAGTGTTCGCCTTCTTACGAGCCAGATAATTGCCCAAAATCTTGATTACTCTAGCCAGCCGGGTATGGAGTGAATTGTGCTGGCGCGGGGAGGTAGGCGGGAGCGCACCCCTCTGGGAGTCTAGGGTCACTGCAGAGACCCTAGATCTGAATGAGTGTAGGCAGTGGACCCTCAGGTGATCTGTGAAACACAGATAATATAAATAAGATAAATTTTGGAGTAAAGGGGGAAAGCACGGGGAGTGCACTGGGTCGTCCGGGCTTGCTTCCTTGTTCTGTCCCGAGTCTGTAAGGCCACTTTGTTGTACAATTTGGTGATTTGTGATTGTTAAGGCGGAATATAACCCGTTGAGGTTGATCATCTTTCAATTAAAAAAAATAAATCTTTCCGATGTCAAAATGGCTGAGAGTTGCTATCCTACTCATCTTATCTATTCTGCTTGAACAGGGAGACACGTTCAATTTCTTACGTTTGTTTAAAAGATTACCTTTACATTTCATAGGAATAGTAAATATTTTATTTCAGTTTACTTTATTTAATACTCCTCTCGCTCTCTCTCACTCTCTCTCTCTCTCTCACCCTCTCTCTCTCCCTCCCTCTCACTCCCTCCCTCCTCACTCTCTCTCTCACCCCCTCCCTCCCACCCNCTCCCACCCTTTCTCCCTCAACAAAACCTTAATAAATTGAAAATTATCCAATTAATAATATTATCCATGTCGCAATGCCTACCCTGCGGACTTTTATTTTCCGGACGATAGGATACGAAACCTTACCGCACCCTCCATATTCATCCGACCTCTCGCAGACAGTCATACTTTTTTTAGGCATTTTGATCACTTCTCGAGTGAAAAAATTTTTAGAGAACGCGGTGAAGCCGAAAACACCTTCCAAGACTTTATTGTGAACCGAACGATTTTAGATGTTTATGTCAAAGGAATAAACGCGGTAATCACAAGTTGGCAAAGATCTATAGATTGTGGGGAAAAATATTTCTAATAAATTTTCTTTATTTTATAAAAATCAAAAATAGTTTTGTCCGCCTTTACAAAGCCTGCAATATTTTTGCACCGGCCCAATAATAAAAAATAAAATTTTAAAAAATAAAATTTAAAAAAATAAATAAAAAAAAAAGATCTTTCCAATTTCAAAATGGCTGATCGTTCCAACTGTACAATATTCCTCTACGTGATATCTGCCTGAAAGATTTTTCAAGCTCTATCCTTTCAAGCATTCAACCTCGGAAAATTAAAATTGTTTTCATTTCCTTTCCCAACGAAGTCAAATTCAGCGCTTCTAAATAAAGAAAATATAAAACATTAAATCCTACTCCCAACACGGTCGACCGGGTTCAAACGGTCTAACAAAAAGGACTCAAAAAGGGAGTTAAAAAATCCGGCCCGGTCCAGGCTCAAATGTTACCGGGAATAAGTTGACTGTACTTGTAATTATCAAACTAATTAATTAAATAATCAAATGAAAATAAAATAGAATTGGAGACTTACCTCGAGCCGCCGCCTCTTCTCTCAGGGAGGGGTGCAGGGGGGAAGAAGATGTGGAAAAGTTGTTAGAGGAGCCTGGGAAAAACCGAAAAACCTTTTCCACGAGTCCGGCAACGACGTCGATAATCCGCGAAATTCGCCACTACGATCACGAATAAAAATAAAAATATGCACATGTTACTTTTTTTTCCAAAAGGCACAACGTTCTGCCCAACGCGAACGCGTGGAACGCTACAATCGCACTGTCTTGGGCCGAGAAGGGTGAAGGGAGAAGTCCTTGGACCACCGGCACAAATCACCCGACATCACGTTCAGCGAATCAGAAACGAGTTCGAACGTTTTAGGTTGCAGTGGAAAAACCGGACAAACTTTGGTTACCAGTGGGCAGTGGCGCCCCAAGAATCGTTTCACGTTTTTGACAAAATGTTATTCAAAAATAAGCATTATAACACAGTGCACATTTACCGTTTGTATAGTTAATATCTTGCAGGTAATCCTACTTATCTTAACTATCCTGCTTGAACAGGGAGTACACATTCAATTACTGACGTTTGTTTAAAATATTGCGTTTACTTTTCCTAGGAATAGGCTTTTTTCGGTTTACCTTATTAATACTTTTTAATTTATTATTTTATTAATTTTTTCTCTTCTCTCTCTATGAGGTTAAAATAGAAACCAAGAGCATAGACCCTGTCAAAAAATACATGTCAGCTAGCTAGCTATGGGGAGAATTGAGCTTCTTTGGGTTTGATGGTGGAGGGGGGGTTGACGGGGGCGCACCTCCTTGGAAGACTAGGGTCACTGCAGGGACCCCAGATCTGTAGGGGTGTGGATGTTGGCATTGTACCCTCAGATGATCTGTTTTTGTTTTTTTTTAATTTATTTTCTTTTTTATTTATTATGATTTCAGATATTCATAACCATATACAATTATTATTTACAATTAATTTAATACAATTTTACTAACAAAATTATTTAAGGCTTCAATGTGGTCTCTAATCAAACGGTGATGGTCGGGTGGCCATTGTCCACCTTTATACACAACGTCCCTTATTTGAGATTTTCGGCGTGGTTCTTGAATGGGGCAGTCGAATAAGATAGGTTCCCATGTCTGTTGAGGTCTCCCTGGACAGTCGCATTCCGAATCCCGTGTTATGTGGAATCTATAGAGATATTCTCGATTTCGTCCATGGCCGCTTATAGGTTGGGTAAGCATATGGTGGTGTTTCAGTTCTACTATATCCTTGATTCTACCGTTGGGAAGAACTTTTTAGTTTGAAGACCTTTAGCAGTACGTCTCCAACGTTCTTCCCATTGGGCCAATGTCATTTTCGAGGCCATGGAGAAGACGTAGCTTTTCGGCACTACTGTGATTGTTGTTTCTAGTTCAGAGTTTTCTGTAGCTTCCTTTGCTGCTGCATCGGCTTCCTCATTACCTTGGATCCCTGTGTGCACTGGTACCTTTTCAGTACTAATATTCCAGCCATTATCACGCAATGATTTTATCATATTTCTGATGTCGGATAACATCAGGCTTCGTGCTTTGTAATTTTTAATTTATCAATGGATATGCAGCTGTCTGCCATCACTATCGCGATTTTGTTCACTTCCCCAACATCCTGCTGTGCGAGCCATTGAAGAGCCTTCAGGATAGCAATGAGTTCAGCTTGGTTGTTCGAGCACCAGCTAGCGAGTTTAATTTGTATTGTTTTTTGCAGGGTGTTGTCTTTTCCATAGATGACTAGGGCTGCTCCAACCTCATTATTCATTTTGCTCCCATCGGTGTATATTACGATCTTGTCTTACCATGATACTGACTCTGTAATTCCTTGAGTTCTATAAGCCGGATGGGGGCCATTCATTTAAAGGCAGTGTGGGTTCCACGATAAGTGCAAGGAAGGCTTTGTTGTTGAGTGACCTTTTTATGGTGAAGTAGATATCGGTTAGTTCCCTTAGTTTAAGTTCAATCGGGGCTACCCCTGCCATGATACAAGCTGCTTCATACAAAATTGTCCTTTCTCCTTTTATTCGTAGAGCGGTTTTTTTTGTTGTTTTTTTTTTGCACACCGAGTTTTTTGAGATTTTTCTTATTATCTACAGCTTTAATCCAGACTGGGGCTGTGTACATCAATAATGGTAGTATGGATCCAGAATAGATGATCTGAAGTGCCTCGGATCCCAGGCCCCAGTATACCTTTGCCGAACGAGCAAGCATCAGTTGCAATGCTTTATGGCTAATGTAATCGACATGTTTCTTCCAGGTAAACTTGCTATCAAATATTACGCCCAGGTATTTAAGTTCGTTAACAATCTTTAGTTTTGTTCCTCCAAGATATACATTAATATTGTTAATATTTCTCCTTTTTGTTATTACCATTACACTGGACTTGTTCGGGTTGAAATTGATCTTATTTTCAGATGACCATTTTTCAACTATGAACATACATTTATTAGCTGTATATTCAGCGTAGTCAATGTCACGGGAGCTAGTCATTAGGAGCAGATCATCAGCGAAAGCGACCAGTTTTACATTAGTTGTAAATTTCAATTTTAGAACGGAGTCGAACATTATGTTCCAAAAGCCGGGTCCAGAGCACGGTCCTTGAGGGAAACCTTTTTCTTCCATTTTTTGGACTTGGATAGTAGCTGTGCTTAAATTGGCAATTCTGTTAGAAAAGTAATGTCTGGCCAGACTATACAGATTTCTAGGACAGGAAAAGGAGCGTAGTTGGAGCAATATGGATGGCTACCATGGAGCATTAAATGCACCTTTAACATCTAAGATCATTGCAATTGCTTTTTTTGGATCCCAGAGTTCTTTTTCAATACAGTCATTAACATCCATTAGCGCTTCCACAGTGATCTGTACATGTGATGATCTATGCATCAGCAAGAAAAACAAACAATCATTCCTTTTAAAGTCTGTAGGTTCGTGAAAAGCTTCGCCCCAAGCATCAAAACAAAATTCTTAAGAAATGGCTAGAAGCCACTACAGAAAAGATTTTTTAAACTTATAAAACATTGCACATTTTAAGAATATACCTGTAATGTTTACTCTTGACCGCTCTTTGAATTTGAAAAGGAGTAATTAGTGTACCTGAATTAATTGAACGCTCAGAAAAGTAAATTGAAATGAACTGCAAGCCCAGCCAGTGTATTTAGAATTATGAAATCTAATGGCTCAAGGGTTTCCCCACCGATTCTTATTAACCTTCCAAAAGCCAGAAATTCCAGAGAACATAATCCTCAATTCTTACAGGTAAAAGTAAGGCAATTTATACCCAATCTCATGCAATGTTCTTCATGCTTTCTAGACACACAAATAAATTCTGCAAGACAAATATTGTGACTCTAATCATGAAAACAACTGTCAAAGTACTGTTAACTTACGCATCAATTGTGCAAGACCACATCCAGTATATGGCAGATGCCGCCCCATATATTCCGAGAAAAGAACAACAAAACATTTGTACCTGTGAAAAGACGCCCAGAAATAGTAGATTTGTGGTTTTTATAGCCCAGGAGTAACAATCTAGACATAGTATGTGCATTAAAGTCTTAAATCTGTATTAACTGGTTGTTTTAAATAAATGAACAAATTATTATGAGATAAAATTTTTATTTAAAACAAAAATGTCACAGATTCATTAAAATTGAATTGTACAAATTTATTTTCTTCCTTTCATTTTCTTTCTAACATTTTTTCCTGGCCTTTTGTTGGGAGCTTTTTTCCCTCTGGGCGTGTTTTTCCCGGGCATTTTATCGAAACCTGAAGTCGATTCCCTGGTGTTACGTTTCGAATCGCGTTTCTTACCTCCAAAACCGAATTTCGAATCTTTGAATTTCTTCTTCATTTGTGCTCTGAAAAAAATTAAACCATGTTAAAATCAACTCGCAATTGGACTATTTTTGCTGGTGTTTTACTTCTTGTTCATCGTCTGGCTTCCTTTCTTTCCTTTATTCTCTAGGAATGACAAGTCCTTTGTTTCACCTTTTCTGAACTTTTTCACCATGTCCATCAGCTCCTTTTTAGCGGTGACTTTATTAACTTTAGCTTGAGCATTCAATGCCTTTTGGAGTTTCTTCTGCGCTCGAATGCTCCTCACCTTCTCGATGTTTTCAACTTCAGCTTTCCTTTTAATTAAATTAGATTTGACCTACAAAAAATATGTAATCAGTTGTGAATAAAACCAACAAGCAATCTACAAATTTTTGTGATATTGCTTATTATTAAGACATTAGCAATTAGCTCCTGCCTTCATTGATTTTTCTTCGATCAGTGAATATCTGGCAATGATTATTTGGAGATGGTGAGATGCGATCTGGCATGATGTAGGTTCAGCACATTTTCTTTATCGTGCCAACGACAATAAAGAAAATGTTTTTCTGAGCCTATGTCACACCAGACCATGTCTCACAATCTCGAAATAATCATTAATTAACGATCACTAAACACCACACATCTGGCAATGTTTGACTTCTTTTCTTTTAACTGCTTTGTTTTGGATAGATGTAGCCATACTCAATAGTTAACGAGGAGAACTAAGTAGTTTCCGTTTGTAATTTATATATATTTATTTTTTATTATTTTTTTATCTTTCTATTTTAAGGAATAATTATCCTATTAGCACCGGGCTATCAATACAGATGTCGAGGGTTCAAGTCCACTCGTGGCACTAATCATCTCAACCTTGTTTGCATAAAAATTAATATATATTAAAAATTTCACCATATTTTCAATGACATTTCAAGATTTACAAAAATTAATAACGGATTTATTTGCTGACAGACTGAATAAAAAAAATTGAAATTTTAACCTTTTGCATGTGGTCATCCGATTTAGCCATTTCTGCAAAATAATCGTCAGGCCTCTGTGTTGGGATTCCGAGCTTTTTCAGCCTCGGTAGCACCGAAAGCACAGCATGTTGCGCTAATCTGTAAAACAAGCTCTCCCTCTGGAAATCGTCGTGTGCAATTGGGTCTCCTTTTTCAGAATCCTCGAGCTTAAAAAAAAGACAATATAGAAAAAAACCAACAATAGGTTTTATTATTTTTTATTACACACCTGCACTGACAATTCGGGTGCCAATGGAGCAGGCTTGCTAATTACGTCAAGCCTTTCGACCCAAGGTAAATCGGTGTACAACTCTGTCAGCCTTTTTTTCAATTCTTCCTACAAAGTACAAGAAAACAAAATGTTTATTTATTTTATAGACGATCACTTTAGCAGGAAAAATGAGAAAATTTAACTTACAACGTTATTGACATAAGACTTTTTGTCAGAGACTGGAATATTTAAACCAGGTTTCAACACACCTGCAGCGAAGGCTTCTTGAAGTGCCTAAAAAAATGCAAGGCACATATTAAGTCCCTGTCTGTACTTAGAATATATTATTAATTTTAAGAAAGAAATATTTTAAGAAAGAAATATTTTAAGAAAATAAATTAGTTTTATAAGGCAAATGTGTAGCACCACGTTCTTACCTCGGTTTCTGAATCAGTCTCATTTTCGTCGTAATTTTCCAACTCTTCGATCTCGAGTTCTTTCAAGCCTTTAGAATTTTTCATGGCTTTTATTTATTTAGATTATTTACACTACTAATTGCACATTAATTAAATAAAACTAAATACAACTGTACACAAACACCTTACAGTTTACACATGCCAACCTCCAAACAGTCCATGTGGTATAACAATGAAGTAGGTTAAAAGGGAATATTCCCGTACAAATAATTTCCCTTTGGTAAATTTTACTGAAATCATTAATTAGTTAATAATTACATATTAATGTTCTGTACACTTATAATTACAATATAGTCGTAAAATTTTCTACAAACTAACACGCTTCACTATATTTGCTCAATTATTATATATAACAAAGCATTTATTCATTTTAAATCCCTCATACAATCATTAAATGTATTTTTATTACAATTTAGTAATTTAGTTTTAATATTAATAAAAATAATATTTAAATAAATTATTAAAAAATACTCATATGTATTAGTTTCATTACAATTTCCAAAAACATGTACTAACTAAAAAATATATAAATAAAAATAATAAAATACTAATTCAATATGTTCAATTGATTATTTGGAAATCATGAGATGATTTATTAATCTCTCATCACGACACGCAAGAATGGCACATACGTATACGCAGAAAACAAACACTTTGAGCCCTGAAGATGATCTCAATAAAGATCGAAACATTGGCACGATAAAGAAAATATTTTTCTGAAACATACGTCACACCAGACTGCATCTTACGATTTCCGAATAATACTATCGGTCACTAATCACCACACATGTTCAATTGACTTACTACTAAATGTTATAATGATTTGTTAGACTTTATTAGTTTAATACAACAATAGTAATAAACTCAAACTACTAGAATAGAGAAATGTGATATTTTTTCATGTACCAAAAACACTGTCGAAAGGTGGTACTCGGAGTAACTGCCCCTGTAGAAAATTGGTCATCCTCACCCGATTAAAGATAGGCCATGTGAGTTTGTCACATGCCAGACTCTTATTTTTGTATGTTATAAAAGCTTATATCCAGCATGTAGAAAAAGGTTGCTCAATGTGTAGAATCTAATTGAATGGTGCAATTCCTCGGTACCATGTAGAGAGCCCCATGATAAGAATTTTGCTTGATATTCTGATTCTTGGAGGAAACAGGGTTGTTTTATTGTATATAGTACTGATAGGTTTATATCTCTAGTGTGTTGAGAGTGAATGTATTTATTGGCGTGAATATGCAGTGTGAGAGGACCAGGTGGAATTTTGACTATCACAGTGACCCTCAATTAGGTTAGTTATAATAGATTTAAAGGGTCATGGAGGAATATCGAGTACTCCACTACCCTAACTGAGTGAATGGTAATGTATTTAATTGTGGAGATGTATTTAAGAGTGTGTGAGAGTGACTACATTGGGGGCTGAAATGATTATTATAAGTATCCATAGCCTCCTGGTGCCCTATTTTGATGGTTGGACAGATAAGACTGAGGTCTGACCAGTACCCGGCATAGTTGATTCTCGATGACTGTCAGTAATTTATTGTAAATTACAAAAGCTGGAATTTCTGGTGCACTGCTATAAGTAATAGAGTCAACTCTCTGTATGTATTTACATGCATGTTCAGAATTGAGCTTATTTAAATCAGTAATCATACAAATTTTATTGCAATAATAATGAGCAATAGTAGAGTAGTTTATAAATATTTATTACCCGATGTTTCGGAAATTATACTTCCTTTTCCAAGGCTGAACTTGAATGCATTTCCTTGTTTTATATACCATACCCTGATGGTATAATTCTTGGTACTTTATCCATCATTTATTCAAATCAACTTAATGTAAGCCAGTGAGGATTCTTTAATTATTTTATCATATTCTACAAATTTTAATGTGTTAATTATTGATCATTTAGGATCGAAAATTTTTTAATTTTGCAGGTTACATAATTGAACCATAGTATGTGAAAGAAAGTAATGTGAAAGTTAATGTGAGAACAAAACGCTCCCTATAGAAATTTTTAACAATGAAAATAGATTGCACTTTTGCATTCCCTCACACAGTTATTAACATTAAATCCCTTTAGGTGCCAAAACTATTTGTTATAATCCAATGTATCAATATATTACAACAATTAGGTTTGTACATTGCATATCTGAAATCTTATGCAATGTGATCAATATTAAGTTCAATGAAAATTGATACGACAATAGAGGAAGTTCAAAGAATCTTTTCTCATTGGGATCATTTATATTAGAGATAACACTGATTCATGTATTTGTCATGCTTCGTATCTCAGCATTGTCTAAAAATTTTCTTTATCCAATTTCTATTTGGATGTAACACTTGCTTATATGTATAAATATCTGAAATAGTTAATGATCAGCTTTAAATTATAATTATGTACTTAAAAAACAATCAGGCATGTGGTTAATTGGAAAGAATATACTCAGTCCTTTTGTGAAGAATTTGAAGAATTCATCCCCTTCATCAGGACTTTAAAACATTAATTTATTATTTAGAAGGTTTATAAATAAGTCTAACTGTTCACTATTTTGAAATCTGTGAGACTGCAAGTACAATAAAAGTGCACATTAAATCATACAAATACCAGATTGAGCCTGACCAAAGCCTTCATTGTATAACAAAAAATAGATAGACAAAGAGTGAGAGAGAGAAAGAATTAATGAATGTGGCTCTATTTAGTAACAGAATTTGGTTAAATACTGACCACTCTTATTTCAATGACAGAGAAAGAGAGAATGAGAGGGAAGATATTTATGATATTTGGCGATTCTACACTCCAAAATACAGGACTTGTATCTGCCACTTCTTGTGAATAGGCCCTGGTTTCAGAAAAAAAAATCTGAAAATTGAAATTTTCCGTTTTTTAATATTTTTATTTTGCCTTTCTACTTGCTCAAATCGACTATGTGGAAATATCATTTTTTCTGCATTTTTTATAGAAATTGTAATATAAATATACTAAAAGCTATCGTGGTTTATCAATAACCAAGAAATTTCTAAAAGACAAATATTTTTCAAGTCAACTAGGACATAATTTTTCGTGAAACTAATATGAAATTTCGTTTTAGCACCTCTTGAGACCCCTAAATATAGATTTTTGCTTTAATTCAAATTTTTCCATTTTTTGACCCCTAAAATTTTTCCGATTTTTAAGAAGTCGTTATCGGAATATCTGAATGAAGTAGTTACAATTCATAAATTGTTAAAAGGATTTTAACGTCAAATATACCATCTGAAAGAAGAGGAACGTAGTTTTTAACGGCGTATGTAACATAAAACTATATAAAAGATTTCTATAAGAAAATTCACAACATGGGAAAATTATTTGTCAGAAATTAACCTCGTTTTTTAAATGGAAATAATAGTCCAATTTCAATGTTTGATACAATTATAAAACGCACTTGAAAATTTCTTTAAAACGAATTATGAACCATGAAAATCGATCCACTAGTTTTTGAGACAAAATTATGCATATCTTATTATTATTTATTGATTATTATTTATTGTTTGTTATATATTATTATTTATTGATTATCTTGCACTTGGAACACAAGTCACGCAGATGGTTGTCGAAATTAACAGTCAAAAAACTACACCGATTTATTTAAGGGTTTTATGTCACTAGAATCACGACAATAAGGTTAAATTGAAGTTTTGACCATTTTATGACCTACTTTGCTTACAGAATGTTTGTTAAAATATGCAAAAAAGCAGTATTTTATTGACTTATGTTTTTAAATTATATCAAATTAGAATATTCTACGTTGCAGAACTTTTTTTTCCCAAAAGATATCTTCACAAAAATATTATGTTTTTGATCTATAAATAACGATTTATGCTCATTTAATTAAACATTAACAGAAATAACAAATCAAGTCAACTATGATAAAAGTCTTAGGAATTAATTAATTGGGAGAAGATATGTAAACGAAAACAGCAACGAGAATGTGTGGCTACTTTCCTGAATTTTCGTAAGTCTATTTAGAATGAACACGTTGTTATTGTAAAAGTGGAGTATTTGTGGAATTACATATTCTCACTTGTTAACAGACTCCTTAGGTTTGTAAGCAATCAAAGGCCAGAAGTTATTTTGACGTTGATTAGTGCAGTTCAGTAATATTACATATATCCAGCAGCGGAATTCTTCAAGAAATAGTCAAAACCTAGATTTGACCTTATATACTGACTATCTAGCCAGAGAAGAACTTTCATATTAAATAAAATTAAAATATTAATAAAAATTAATAAAGGAAGTTTAATTAAATGAGCAATCATTATTTAAAGATTCAAAAAATATGATTTTTGGTGTTTTAATTTCATGTTGGTTACCGTAAAAACAAAACTGTTCTACGAATACGACCCAGAATGTTCTAATTTAATATGATCAATCAACAAAATACTATTGTTTTTTTTTTTTTTTTTTTTGCATACAAACAAAGAAAAGTAGATCAGAAAATGGTTAAAACTTGGATTTGACCTCATTGTCGTGATTGTAGCGTTATAAAGCCATTTGATGCCGACTTTCCGGAAAATCGTGTAAATTAATTTTTTGGCTGATAATTTCGACGACATTCTTCCCTGGCTAACATACCTGGTGCAAGCTAATATATCATTTTTCTCAAATCCTAGTGGACCGATTTTCACGGTTCATAATTCGTTTTAAAGAAATTTGCAAGTGCGTTTTGTAAGTGTATAAAAATCGGACGATCATTTCAATTTAAAAAAAAAGTTAATTTCTGACATTTTTTGCCTATTTTGTGAATTTTCTTATAGAAATCTTTTATACATTTTTATGTTACATACGCCGTTAAAAACTACGTTCCTCTTCTTTCAGATGGTATATTTGACGTTAAAATCCTTTTAACAATTTATGGGGCTGAAATGACCCAGATGTCGGAAGCCCCAGTAAAAAAAAAAAAAAAAAAAAAAAAAAAAAATTATGAATTGTAGCTACTTCAATCAGATATTCCGATAACGACTTCTTAAAAATCGGAAAAATTTTAGGTGTCAAGTAATCGATAAATTCAAACAAAAATTTATATTTTCTATTCTATTTATATTCTCTAGAGGTGCTAAAACGAAATTTCACATTAGTTTCACGAGAAAAAAAATTATGACTTAGTTCACTTGAATAATTAGTTTTTAGAATTTTTTTGGTTATCGATAAACCGCGATAGCTTTTAGTAGATTTATATTGCAATTTACATCAAAAATGCAACACTATTAAACATTAAAATCAGACAATTATTTCCATTAAAAAATAGGTTAATTCTGACAATTTTTTTTCTTATTTTGTGAATTGAAAAAACTAATAAATTCGTTCAAAATTTCCTTGTTTTTTTATTTTTAATTATTATTAATCTTTTCACCTTACCAATCCTTCAACCACGGTTTTTTCTTTTCTTTCATCAATTTCTTCTGAAAAAAGTAATTAAAAAAGCAATTACACCACTAAAAAGGATATTAAAAGGAGTACGTTTTCTGAAATTTGTTGGTCTTTAGGTTTGGAAATAGTAGTTTAGAATCACCATAGTGCGTTTTTCAATTTTGAAAAACTAATATTTTTTTAAAATCTCCCTACTAAAACGCTTATTTCACGAACGTGAAAGATACAAGTGTATTGATCACATCTTATTGGAAAATTTAACTTACTCCTCAATGGCCTCCACATATTCGAAAACCTTTTAATTTTGAAGTTATCTTGTTTATTTGAAGCAATCTTTAAAAAAAAAAAAAAATAAAATAAATAAAACTAAAAAAGTGAAATAACTCCGAATTTGTTGAGATTCTGACCATAGTTAATGAGGACTTTTTGGTTCCTCGTTGAATGTAAAATCTATTGGCAAAGTTTGTAACACTAGTAGCCGAACACCCTGTATATCAAGCTATGTTAAAGAAATAAAAAGTGTGAGAGTGTTGTGTGTGTGTGTGTGGAGTGAGAGAACACTTTTTATTATTCTAATAAATTTGATAATGAAATAAATGTACAAAATGGTGGATAAGATTAAGAACTGACCGTTGGATAAGGGCTCAAATTCATTATTGTTTTTACTACAATCATTACAATGTATTATAAATAGTTCGCTTGTTATGCAATAGCGAAGCCTGGTATGACGAAAGAATAATAATAAAAAAAGAAGGAATTGTTTTGAAATTTATTAGCTGTTTATATATTTACTTAAGATATTTAAACTTTTTTTTTGTTCAACGCATTCATAACACGGCGGTTTACACCCCGTTTACGTCAGTTGGATCCGAGGAGAGGAAAACCCAGAAAACAATTTCACAATATTCTGCGAACGTCGTGACCTTAGTTTTAATTGACCGCCTCCCTCCTCGCCAGCCGTTGTTTGTCTTAGACTGATCGAAAGACAAAACCTACTGTTTACAAACGGGTAGCGACTTTCTGTGCCAATTTTCTAGAAACGGGTGCCGTGGACGTTTTTTTAAAAATAAAATTATACAATCGAAAGGCAAAAGTTTATTTTTTAGACCGTGATGAGTGAATTGAATCTGCGTTCCGATCTACTTTCACCGACACGTTCCGAAAACCCTTTCTGAGGATTGAACACTCGTGACAAAGTGAGAGGTCAGTGAGTCTGTTCACTCGGAGTAAGGTTAAAATACTTAAAACTTAAAAAGCCAGTCGGACGGCCAAAGCCAGACGGGCTGATTGTGACTGCGAGTGTTTCTGTGACCGACCTATACTGGATACGACAAAACGCCTGCATGTCTTCCAGTTCTTAACAAGCACTCGAATATTTTCCTTTTTTAAAAACAACAACCGAAATGTCAGCTTAGTTTCTCCAAAGAATTTAAATAAGGTAAACGCTTGTTCAAACACTAACAACAAAAACAATCTGTCAAAATACTCTTTATTTCTTTACTCTTTCATTCAAAGCTTTCTCTTTATATAATCGTTGGGGAAAAATTGCCTATCCTCTTTTCAAAAACTGTGGCCCAACAAGTTATAAATAAATTACAGCTTCTCTCGTCACCATTGTTTTATCCTAATTTCAAGTTTGGCACTGTTTCCCTTTAATGGGTTTTTCATTTCCCTAGAATACTAATATTTTGTGTATTTCTATATCAGATTTTCAAAAATCATTGTCGTGTAACACCTAAAGCCTAGTTTTAAACACAAAATCTAAAAATTTAATCTAGTCCTTACAGTCTCACTTGTTCATTTGCATCAACAAGTTTAATGGTTTATTCAAAAATGCAGACAGCCTTGCAAACCCTCACCTTCAATTTCATACAAAATCACTATTCCTGATTTTAATTGTATTTAAAAATTGTGTACATCTCTGTGCTGTACTCTTATGGAACTTACAGAAGCCTGCAACATCAGTTACAATCTTATCTTCTTACAGATTTCTATTTTTTAGCTTATCAAACATTAAACAGATTCAAATTCAGATTACAGGAAGAATAATAGCTCTAGACAGATAGATAATGTGTATTTATTTAAACAATTACATTTTTGTTACATAATGCGTACAGTATGAACATGTAGTTTATCATCGGGTTACACATTTATAAATTAATCTTTCATAGATTCTTCTTTCTAACAATATCTACTTAGAATTGTTTCTGCCGCTCTGAGTCTATGCATACACCTCTGGAATCTGCAGTCTAACTATTATTTTAGTCCTAAAACATCATAGATTAGTAGTTCTGCCGTTGGTAATGGTCCTTCGTTGAACTTTTTTTTGAGTATTGGTCTGTTGTGCATCACCATTGTTGAATAGTGCTCCTCATTAAGCTAAAGGCTTTTTACCAGATCTCTTAAGTTTTTTCAGTCATTCCCGTGTGTATCCTTCGCATTCGCGCTTTCCCTCTCCCAGAAGTGGGAGCCTCATCCTACTTAAATAAGCCTTTGTATTAACTATGACATGCTTGATGTTTTATTTAAACGTGAAATGACAGCCTTGCAAACACTGACTTACAATCACTATTCCTGATTTTAATCATTTTTAAAAATTGTGTGCATCTCTTTGCTTTACTCTTATGCAACTTACAGAAGCACGCAACATCACTTGCAATCTTATCTTCTTACAGATTTCTATTTTTTGGCTTATCAAGCATTAAACAGATTCAAATTCAGATTACAAGAAGAAAAATACCTCTAAATAGGTAATGTGTGTTTATTTAAACAATATATATTTTTGTCCCCTTTGTTACATAATATGTACAGCATGAACATGTAGTTCATCTTTGGGTTACACGTTTATAAAATCATCTTTCATAGGTTCTTTGCATGTAATGCACTTTACAAGAAAATAAATACTTTTATTATTTAAATCGGGAGTAACATATGGGCATGATATATCTTCAGAATGGACATTATAAGTTTTATATCTGAATATGTGACAGGACTGATAAATGAGCTTGTGATAAAAACTTGATGTGTATTTAAATAAATTGCCGTTAAATTAAATGCAACTAAACAGTGTGATTAACTAATCTTTTTTATGTAAGATCTTGGTTGAAATGAAAAAGTTAGTGTCATAAGCAGGATTCGAACCCATGACCTTTGGTTCAATACACTGCTGCTCTAACCACTTGAGCTATCGTGACTTAGATCCACACAATGACCCCATCTCAACCTACAACCTTTCAAATTTTCCCTCCGTTTTGCCATTTTTCAAATGTCGTCTAATCAGGATTCAATTCTCGGCGACATATGAAGTGGCCACGGAGAGCTACTAGTGAAGATATACTTTGTTTTACTTATTAAATCCATTATATTTAGTATAAACAAAATTTTTGAAAAATGGCAAGTAGCCTTGAATAAAAGCCAAAGGTTTACATTTGTCAAGTGGATGAATAAAATAAAATATTTTGCCTTAGAGCTTTTTATGTAAAGTCTTGGTTGAAATGAAAAAGTTAGTGTCACAAGCGGGATTCGAACCACGACCTTTGGCTCAATACGCCGCTGCTCTAACAATTTGAGCTATCGTGTTTCATTTATTTTGTAATAATTATTATCATTAAATAAAATGAATTACTAAATTGCTTTAAAAAACCAAATTAATTTGACAAAAAGTGTACAATAGATAATTATTATCTCAGCCACTTCAGTTTTGCACTCAAGTCTAAATAAAAACTGTTAAGTCTGAGTTTAAAAAAAAATATTTTTTTTCTTTTTTTATCAAGTTAAGTGACTTAGGATGAACCTTGGTTAAATTTGCCTCCAATTCCTTGCCTCTAAGGGGAGACATATTCTTCAAACGAAAAGTAACTTAGTAAGAGAAGATGGCTAATTGTTTTTATAGCCTTTGACTGGCTAGTGGTTCATACTCACTGAACAGATTTGTTGTCATCTTAGCCAAGTAATTTTGTGAATTGAACTCTTCAATTTAGGCCTTTTGCCAAACTGGCACAGAAAGAAACTGCCAGATCCTATAGACAAAAAACAAATATTTTGCAAGGTTGATTGCTATTCTATAAATCAAGCACTTATTTTGAAACAAGGGAATTGAATTTATAAAGAAGTTTAAATTTTTTTAACGTAGGGGTGAATATCAATTGTGCATTAACAACTAGTCTGAATGAACTTTTATCAGTTTGCTATTCAATAAAGCTTGCCAGGGGCTGATAACAATTATATGTTCTGTGTGAAGATATGGTGGTGTTTTGCGTATTAATTACTCCTTTATTTTCGTTTTTTGGACTGTTCCTCCAGTTTTTATTTGTTTTTCTTTCTCGATAGCTTACGCACCATTGCTCAACCCCTTCTCAGGCTTCTTTAATGTGGAAGATTTGAATGTTATTGACCTGTCTTCCACAGATTCAGAGGACTGAAGAGGGGTCGAGTATGGGTTCGAAAGCTATTAAGAAAGAAACATGAATAAAAACTGGTGGGATATTTAAAAATAATAATAATAATAATAATAATAATAAAGGAGTAATTATGATAACATGTAGGGTTATGGTCATTCATAGATGGGTGGCTCACATTCATAAACCACTTATATAAACTATATGCTTATTGCATAAATTAATGCAATAATAGATTAATAATTAAAAAAATTCCATTATTGATGAGTAACTTTTTTGCAGTGTAATTATTGCTGCCCCTATGCTTAAATAGCAAAATATTCAAATTGAAAACTTACATATTTGAAATATCTTTACGTGTTTTTTCTGATAAATTCTGATCAATGACGTTGTTCATTAAAAACGTTGAACTCCGGGAGAGGCAGATAAATCACAGATATGAACTGACCGGCCTGCTCTCTAAACAAGAGTCTAATTGGGCATCCTTGAATTATTTACTATTGAATATGAGTGAAACACTCATTAGAAAATTTTGGAATAACTACTATTTAGGGGAATGGCTGGATATAGTTTCAACAACTATAATTGAAAACATTAATATTTAAACTAAAAAATATTATATATGTTATTTTACATATATATGAAAAAAAATTTATAATTATTGTTTTCATTGAATATACAAAATCAAGATGATAATGATGATGATAGAGAAATAGAAAATGATTATGATAGCTATAATAATAAAGCATTTCAAAAATCTTATCAGTGATAGCAAATCATTCCTTGAAATGTGAATCATCAATCAAACACAAACATTTTAAGGTAAACATTTTTTTATGAAAAAAGTTTAGAACCTTTACAGCTAGTATAAATCTCGGTATCTTAGTGATAAAAAAAGGAATAGGTTGACTGAAATAAAATCATTGCCTGAATTTGTTCAATAAAAAGATCAAAATGTATGTATTGATCAAGAAGACATTCAGTAATTACTTTAGTGTCGTATTCTTATGTTAATGTGTTACAGTAATATGTAATAAGATATTAAAATGTATTTCTTAAATATGACCCAATTTTGAAAGTAAGGAAGGTTAGAGTTAATGCAAATCCTAAACATGTTCATTTGCACACAGAAAATGGCAAAATGCTGAAGCACATTGGACAGACCAACACAAACAGGATAGGCAGAACAAAATTATCAGAAATCTCACAAGGTTGATTTTTGTTAACAGAATTTTTTTTCAGGAAGTGATAAATAATATACAATCAAAACTTATTTATATTAATCTATTCACAAAGAGATAAAAAGTATGCATCCAACTACTTGTACATTTCATTTGACAAGAGGTCAGACCGCCTTGTTCCATTTTTCAAATTTTTATACATTTACCTTTTGAAAAATGCTGATATTCAAAGCTCTGGACCAGTTTGTATAACTTTATTTTAAAAAAGCAGAAGTGTGTATACAGTATATTCTAAAATTAAGGGATCCTCCCTTTTTAACCATTAGTTTTTAGTCATTAGTTCTTCCACCATTAAATGTGATGAGTGATAATGTGATTTTATAGAAACAATGTAAAAATGAATTATTTTTCTAATATTCAATATTAAAAAAAGTTTTAAGCTTTCATTAGATAGGTGTCTTTTCAAAACGTTTTAAACGAGACCAGAATTGATTTTCTGTATTGAGTAGAACCATAGTTACAAAGGTGCTGTTGTGTGATACATATACTTTTTTTATGTATTATTTATCCAAAGGGTTAAACAAAGCCAGTGCCAAATATTACAATTATTCATATAAAATACGATTAATTAAATATTTATGAACTTTATAAATAACATATTAAATACACTCAGTTAAAAAAAAAATCCATTTGATTTTCTAAATTAAATTCTTTATTGCTGCTAAACACAGGCCACCTTGATTCTCTAAAATTGTTTTTGATGCTTAAGGTTATTTCAAAGTTAAATAATGAGTTTTCTGAGGTAGTGGACCTCGAATATTAAAATGCATGGAAAATGGGGAAATTTTAGAAACAAAAAATGCAAATAAAAATGTATTTTTGAACAAAAAAGACATTTTTAATAAGAGGTGTTACCGGCGTGGGCTTTAGTTACGGCAGAATGTTGGCCCACTCTTCAACAAACGAAGTCTGTGGGTCTTGCAGTGTTTCCAGAAGGACAGTCCTAGCTCTAATGCATCTTCCTAGCATATCCCATAGATGTTCAATCAGATTAAGGTCGGGGGAACGAGCTGGCCACTCCAGAACACTGATATTGTGTTGTTGAAAAAAGTTCACAACATACGTGCAGTGTGTGGTTATGCTGCATGAAATTTACATTTTCACCACCTGCACTCATAATCAGGAGCACATGTTGCTCCAGGATGGTTTCAATATATCGGGCATCCGTCAATGTCCCTCCACAGGCCATCACCATTTCGGTATATTGATGAGTGGAAATCTTACTCCACACCATAATCTGCCTTGGTATGGACTGGGTTGTACAAAGTTACACTCAGCGAAACGTTCTCCCCTCCTTCTTCATACTCTAGTTTGACCATCAGGAGCTCTTAGAATGAAGCGAGCCTCATCAGTAAAAAGAACATAGCTCCATTGCTCCAACATCCAGTGTAGGTGTTCCCGACCAAAATGAAGTCTGGCTATTCAGTGTTCCCTGGTCAACTGAGGTCCACTCACTGGACGACAAGCGGTCAAACCACAGTCTTCTTATGACTGTCCACTTAAATAAACAGACTCCTCAAACTTCTAGACAATAGGCAGCTTGGACTGATGTAAAGTGACATTCTTGAAGCATATGAGACACCTAAAACCGTCTTGCTGTCTGGTGATCCTGGCTTCCCGTCATAGGAGCCTTTACACCATCTTGAAGGGTGCCCTTACAAAGTTATCCACATACCGAATTGGATGCCCATCATCAATAAGCACAATCGCATGAACCAACTGCTTAGAAGAAAGTATTTTTTTAAATGAAATTAAAAAAAGAACCACACACTTTGTTATTAATGAAAAATTTAAGTTGTAAAGAGACTAGCCATAACAATTGAAAGGTATAATTCTTTTCATTTCATTGTTTGTGTTCTTTGTTTGTCATTAAGCAGCAAAAACAAATTTAGAGAATTAAGGTGGCCTGTGTTTAGCAGCATTAAAGATTTTTTTTTTCAACTGAATGTAGTTTAATCTGTTGGTCTTAGTTTAAAAATGGCAATTCATTGATGTTTTTATAACAAAGGGACAGCCAAAGAACTGATGTAATCCTCTTCATTCAAAAGTATCATAGGTGCATAATAAGAAGACAGTCTTGAATAGCCACTAGCCAACAATAGGCAAATTGAATCGATTTAAGGCCCCATTCAGGCCCACTTGCAGAAATAGTATGTCAGTAGTGTCTTGGCCTTGTAAACAAACCAAGAGAATGCAGGGTCCTTATAATAAGAATCGTCATTTTGCAGGTAAAATGGGGGACGATGGAATCGACTGGCTGTATGAGCTCCTTGAGGCGACGCAACTGGAACAGTTCCTCTCGAGAATTCGAGATGACCTTCAGGTATATAGTTTTAATGGTTTCTGAATATTTAAATATGTAGTTTTTTTTTACATTCTCCAAGTAGTGATATTTATTACAATATACCATATTAATAAAAATACAAATTAAATTTAAAAGCGTTTGTAAAATGTACGTGTATTTTGTCCTTGTTTTCTTAATAAATTTTATCTGTATGACACATTTGAAATGACAGCCCATTTGAACTTGATTCAAAGAGCAACAAATCTTATCTGAAATATTATTCAACTTCCTACACTTGTTGGTGTCCAAAATCCTCAAACTAATCTTTTTATATTGTTTAATACCCTAAAATCTTGGACTTGCAGTCAGGCAAAATGTCTTATTTTGTCTGTTAACTCGCCTTTTTGGAAAATTGTTGATGATATGTTACCAAATCATCAATAGTGATTACAGGTATATCATATTGCTTGGCAAAAATAATAAATTCTGGCATACGGGCCATTGTACCATCATCATTTGTCTGTTCACATAAAACTCCTGCCGGCTTAAAACCTGCTAAAGTTACTAAATCAATAGTAGCTTCGGTATGACCCCACCACTGCAATGAATGGTTGTAAATTTAACTCTTTTGTAATACGCTTAAACCCATCATTTTAATATTGAATAAAATAATCAACATCAATACACCAATTGCAGAGATCATTTTTTCTCTTTGATTTCCTTTGCTCTAGAGAAAGAAGCTTGGGTGCATTCCTGAATATGACCCAGGCTTTTGATTTATAAACTTAAACACTTCCTAGCCACTCCTCATTACCTTACCCTGGATTCATATAGTCTTAACTGACCGCTACTTCAGAATGAGGTGCGGCAAAGATTAATCAGATATCAAACCAATTCTAGCTGGACTTTTCACCCTTTTATACTGACCATACTATTCATTCCAAAAGCACCATGATGTGGATGACACTGCAAATTTGTGTTCTAACACGTATCCTATCCAAGCATCCTTCGACATCCAACAATTTAAGTTTATCAAGGACTTGTTCAAAAAGTGGAGAACAACACAATAATAAAAGATATACCAATTGTTCATACATGAAAAAACAATCTTGCCTTCTATTTTATGTCAACAACAAGGAGGTACCAACTTACACTTAATTCAGATATTTAGGTTAGACCTAGACAGCAGACTGATGTGGAATCCCCAAACAAGGGACAAGAACTTAACATAAGACTGTTAGGACCAAAATCTGTTTTGTCTGTCAAAACTAAACCAACTCTATCCAAGACATTACTGCGACCAATCTGGACATCGTCATATCCAGCACATCTAATCCTTGCATTTATACCAGCCATGGGTCTATGTGTAGCAAAATGTGGGGGTTCACCTGCTTACAATATCTTTACCCAATTCACCTTAACAACCCAATAGTTCCGCCGGATCTTAAGGGCTATCCTAACGAAAATGGTGGCAATCACTATCTACAATGCAGTATCTCCTGTTTGGAATAATTACCTTAGAAAAATACCTGACCCATAAAGTCCTGTTGCCACTATATTCAATTTTATTTTAACTGGCATTCGTCATATGAAGTGAAATATTTTCACAAAAACTAGCTGATGTTAATATAGTTTAAAAAAATGGGACTAGAAATCATAAATTTCTATCAAAAGTTCACAGACAAATTGTCAAAGCTCCTTACTATGTCACTTTCAAAAATTCTGTACAAAGCTTTCAATCCAACCTAACCCTACTGCCCAAGCCCTATTTATTTACCTAGAGCCATCCTGAAAACCTATCATGACAGTAGCTCGAATCCTTCTCCCCCCTTATTCCTTCATATTGTGTGCTAGCATTGAAAATTTTAACTTGCAGAATCTATTTATAGATTACCCGGCTATCCCATTTTGATTATGTCCAACCTGAGGATCTTGAAAAGATTGGGATGGGACGGCCTGGTGCTCGGCGACTCCTCGAAGCGGCAAAGAAAAGGAGGGGAAGCCAGTGGCGGAAGAAGTTGAACAGGTTAATCCCAAGTACAAATCAGACGTCTAAAGGCACCTCGGGAAAAAGGCCTGTTGAGGCCGCTGAACCGTCTGGTCTCACATGTCTAATCCAGGAAAAAAACATCAGGTGATTTTAATTGTAAGAAGTCTGAAGTCAGTTTTGTCAATTTGAAATTCAGCCTAGGCAAGAAACTTGGCGATGGGACTTTCGGAGTCGTACACCACGGTGAATGGACAACTCCTTCTGGCAGGACGAAGGCAGTTGCAGTTAAAGTCCTCAAAAAAGATGCACTTGCGCAGCCAGGACTGTTTGAAGATTTTATCCGGGAAGTACAAGCCATGCACTTATTAGACCATCCTCAACTAATAAGGTAAAATCGCTTGTGTTCTTACAAAACAGCACTTACTTACACTAAGAATAAATGTTTCAGACTTTTTGGCATTGTTTTGAGTAAACCTTTAATGATGATCACTGAACTCGCTCCTTTAGGAGCGCTTCTAGACTATATAAGAAAGCAAGTCCATGAAATTTCAGTGTCTAGACTGTGGGACTATGCTACTCAAGTAGCCAAAGGCATGGCATATCTAGAATCAAAACGCTACTTACATAGAGATTTAGCATGTAGAAATATATTATTAGCTTCTGTAGATCAGGTAAGATTATTATATGAAGTTTAAAAGTTTATTTTTTATCTCTATAAAGGTATCGGTAGATTTTAATAATAACTGGCTTTTAGGTGAAAATTGGAGATTTTGGCCTTGTCAGAGTTATTCCAGAAGAGGCCGATTGTTATGTCATGACAGAACATGCCAAAGTGCCTTTTCCTTGGTGTGCCCCTGAATCTTTGAAAAGGCGGCAGTTTTCTCACAAGTCTGATGTTTGGATGTGGGGCGTTTCTGTCTGGGAAATGTTCACCTTTGGTGAAGAACCTTGGATAGGTCTCAATGGGACGGAGATACTTATTAAAATTGATAAAGAAGGAGAAAGGCTGGCAAAACCTGAAGCTTGCCCTTCGTGCCTTTACACAATGCTTCTTGAGGTCAATTGATATAATTTTTAAAAGTTTTATAATGGGTTTTTTAAAATACTTTTTGTATTAGTGTTGGGATAAAGAACCCGTGAATAGACCAAGTTTTTCTGGAATATTTTCTTTCATGATTTCTGAAACACCACCAGTATTAAAAAGCAGTTCGGATTGGGCGCCACCTGGTCCAGGAACCAACTGCCCCGGCGAAATGCTCCAAGTTTCTGCCGGTGATAGTCTAGTCGTAATAGAAGCCTTTCCAGAAATGTACTGGTGGAAAGTACAGTCACAGTTGTCTTTCAAAGTCGGATATGTGCCAAGGTTAGTTTTCTAATTTAATTATTTTCACGACTCTATGAATGTAACGGAGCCATTTGGATTTTCAGATCTATTTTAGATGGTGGGAAAATAGCCAGTGGGGACATCAGTTTGCCGCTTGACAATTCTTTCATCCATACCGGCCACGGATCGACGGGTGGCAAAACGTGGGGTTCACCTGCTTACATAGATCCTGTTTACCTTAACAATCCAATGGCGCCACCGGACCTTATGGGCTATCCTAAGAAAAAGAGTGGTGAGGTTCTTTTCAATGAATCTTCAATTTTAAATTCACCAGAGCAATCATTATCCTATATATTTGTGTACTGTTTGGAATTGTTACCTTAAAAATGATACTCCAAATAGGATGTTCTCATTTGTAATAAATTACATAATAAAAATAAATCTTGACCAGAAGCCATTCCTCTTTTCTTTTTCTTTTTAAATATTAATTTTGTTTATTATGTTTATAGTAAAGCTAGTTTTAAGATTATTATTACTCATAAAAAAAGTAATTCCAAGCCCTCCAGAAAGTCCTATCGTCACTACAGTCAATTTGCTTTAACTGTCATATGAAGTGAAATATTTTGACCAAAACTAGCTAGGTTTTAATATAAAGTAAGCCATAGTAATAATAATAATTTGACTAGAAATCGCAAACCAATGATTCATCTAGTTGGAAGTAATTGAAATAAAATTTGACTTGTTTTTTGTTTGCTTTTTAGGAACAAAAGTCAAACACACTTCAAGTTTAAACCTCCAGCCACAGAAACAGTTTTCATACAGAAAACTGAAAGCGGAGAATCAGTTGAGAAGTCAGAGTGACAAAAGAGAGAGAAAAGATTTGAAAATGTTGCCTGTTAGGCCGCCGCAGCCCGTTTTTGCACAGGCGAACCAAGAACCACTCATCGACCTGGGTGAGTCGCTGGACGAGCCGAACCATCAGCCCCTTAATCATCGCCAAAGTTTGATCGATGCTCCCATCGATCTTCTAGGTACATTTATTTTCTCACCATTCTATTCAAATTGGACTCTGGCCGATAAGTCTTAATATGCTTTTATGTGTAAAAAAAAAAGCATTAATGAATTAGAAAAAGATTACATTTAAACCTTCCAGTTAACAAAAGTGTTTATTAAACAATTTGAATTTACAATACAGCTTCCTTCCCTCATCATCAGCCAATCACACACACACACACCAAGTCTTGGCCAGAGTTTATCAATTAATTAATTTTAGTTTTAAACAATCTTATTATTTTAATCCGTTGTGAATTTTAAACAGTTTATTTCATGGTTTTTCCCAGTTCCTGAGGGAATGTCTTTATTAGACATGCCAATTGACTCAGTTGATGTTCTATTTGAAGGTAAAAATAAAGGAAATGGCTGTATTAATGCTTGACAATTGTTTTGTTCATGCAGCTTCATGTTTTTGTTCAGTCACACTCGTAGTGTTTTATTTATAAGTAGTAAATTTCACATTATTAATTTTTTTCAGTTTGTAACAACCTAACTTGAAATTATTTTATTGATTAATTTATATAAGTCAAATGCTGAACATACGACATTGCGGCAGTCCACTAGAATCACCGATTTGAGTATTTTGGTCAGACCTTGGTTTATCCATACCACCACTAGGTTTCAGAGGCATTCAACAGCTAGGTCATTTTAGCGCTACACATAGAGTTTTAACCTAAACATACTCACTCTCTCACTTATTCTCAATTTTTTTTCTTATTTTGTACCATTTTCTTAAGGCCAACACATAAACAATTACACCCATTAACTAGTCTAATTGAGGGTCGATGGGGGTACTTAAAATTCCACAATCAAAGCCCTTATACTACACACACGCACTTTTTCACAAAACAGTTAATACAGAAAATATCTACAACCAAACTTTTTATAACCCAATGGTAAGATTAATTGCAATAAAAAATCTATGTATACAAAAATATCTTTGTTTCCGCCAAAAATCAGAACAGGGAACCCAAAGATACACTGCGGAACTAGAGCACATTTCTTATATTGGGTTTTATTCCTACACACTCCATATATGGAGCCAAGGAATTAAGTGGAACCATTCAATTAAGTGGAACACAGTGAGCATCCTTTCTCTATGGGTTCTGGCTCAAAAATAAGTTTCCACATGTCAGCCACTTATCCTTCTACAATCTCTGGAGGCCACCAATTGTGCTCGTGAAACACAAGAGCTCAGAGCTCCATTGATGTCTGTTACCTTTCTTTATTGCTTGTTTAGTGTCAGCGAGTTGGATGGTGGTAGTAAAGTTTAGAGGGAAGGCCGTCCGTCTTTCACTCTCTCTTACATACGTTAGTTGCCCTCCAGTCTGACATGTCCTAATACCCAAAAACTACTGTCCTAATTAATTGGTTTTAAAGGTACATTTGCAAAATCATTGCCATATACACACTGAAAAAAATTCTAGATGACAACAATGAATAACTTAATTTAAATGTAAATTAAATTTTGAACCCCCCTTGATAGATTGTGTAAATTATAAAATTTTGGTTTGTCTGCCTTGTTTTATATATCTTGAAAGTTAATGAAGTCGTTTCAATTTTTTTGTGTTTGTCCTTACTTGCTTTATACATATGTATAGTGTGTAAACGTAAGAAATCTAAAAGCCACCATCATTAATGATAAACTTTAACAAATAATAGTCTTTTTGTCATTATTGATTGTTATTGTCAATTGTGATATACTTCAGAATAGGTATTAGGAGCTTCTCACAGGTTACCGTTTTAAAATAATTTAACTTTGTACTTTAGCTTTACTGAAATAATTAATATACAGTATTAATAATGTCTTACAAGACTATTAATTTGCTTTCAAAATGAATTTTTTTAACACTATTTCATTTTTCAATGCATACGCTACTTAGGTTAAGTTGGGTCTAGAAAAAAAAACAAAAACATACAAACACAATAAATTTAAAATTATTAGATTTAAAGTTTATTTGATCTGTTTTTTGTTTTGTTTTTTCTAAAACAATCAATTCTATTGATCATCTGACTTTTGATAATTGCAAATTTCTGTCAACACATCATAGTTGAAATTGTAAATATTTTTTTGTAAAATAGCTTGTACTTATGGCAAAACAAGACTTTTGGTTTAGTTTAGGGGTGATTCAACAATTAATTAGTTTATTATAGATGAAAAAATGTAGAAAGTAGACCGATTCAGAGATCACAAAAAATTCAATCTACTACAAAATAAATCCAGTAGTTTTTCACAAATAAGTTGCATTAGTAGCCATGTAGAATTTTTGAATATTTTTATCAGGTCTGTAAGGACATAATTTTGTAGTATAAAATAGACTTTAGCTTCATCATTGTCTCTAATGATGCTCTGGCTAATCTTGTTAGTTTATATAAATATAAAAAAAAAGAAATGCTTGAGACAGGCAAACCAAGTATGGTAATGATCAAGTTACAGATCACCTTATGATTGTTCACATTCACATTCACACGTTCAGGAACATTTCATGGTAAAGTCTACAGTTTTTATTTTCCCTGATCATCCTTGTTCCCTTTTTTCAATAGGAATCGATTTAAGATTGTCTGACACAAACTGTAAAAATATGAGTATGAGGTTGATCAAAGAAAAATCCACTTATGGACATAGTTCAACAACTTCCAAATCAGCCCTTAAAAAATTATATTTCAAATAATTGCCCATTGATTGATATCCTGTTTCAAAAAATGGAGAAATAAAAGAAAATAGAGAAATTCTGTCATAAAATCAAATTTAACTTATGCTCGAGTGTAATTAACACCATTTTCCCATTAATATTAATTTTTATTTGTAATTCAATTTTCATGCTTGGGAAAAATTTATTTATTGAAATTAAAATAATTAATCATCCATTTCTTTAAATAAATTAAAACAACCGTTAGTGATTTTGCATGTTTTTGTACAAAAAAAAAGTTGCAAATGAGCAATTTTTATTTAGTTAAAAGGATAGTTTTTAGTTATTTTTATTTTTATTTTTTTTTTTTTTGCTGAAAATTAGCTAAAAGCAGTTAAGCAGCACAAGATGAAACAATTTAGCAAAAAATAGTAAACTGCGTCTTGATAAGGCCATGGTACTATTATTTTAATGTGATTCTAGTCACACAGAACAGTTGGGATACACAGCAAGAGAGGGCAGAATCACCTGACCCATTTGATACGTCCAGGGTCTTCACAGGTGCATCTCAGCAGGCCCAGTCAGCCCAGCCTACCAGCTCCTTCATCGCAGAACTGGAAACAAGGATAGGAGTTATGCATAATCTCCCCCCGAAACTGGATCCACCGCCTGGATCGGTTCGCAACCGGTAAAAACTCATTTTCTCCCTATCGCCTTCCTGACTGGTGACGATTCTTCAAATTTGAATTTCAATTACAGAAATAGTCAATCACGAAGTGAAAGGCACAGCTGGTTTCAAGATCTGCCTTGTATAAATGATAATTTTTTTATCAGATATCCTCAGTTTCAATAATTTTTTTAAATTTCTTATAGTCTTTTATTTAATTAATTAAATTTATTTTTGCTGTCATTTAGATCATATTTTTTGAAAGATTTTATTTGTTAAGATGATTTACCATTCAAATTCCATCCTAATCAAGTTATAGGTAAGATCTTGCCATGTTAAAAATTATTGCGTGTGTTCAGATTTCTTGTGCATTTAACATTTCAAACTATAAAATTAACATTATGCATGATTGATTTATTAAAATAATAACTAAAGAAGAAACTCCACCCCATTTTTTATTTTTTGCATCATTCTTTACATTATTTGTGTGATGCTTTTAGGACCCTTACAAAATTCTATTGTTGATTTAGTTAAATTTTGTTTGTTTATTAATTTACAATGCAACAAAGTTTTATAAAAGTTTATTAATCTTTGGGTACCAAATTAAAAACTTAATTTTAAACTTCATTATTTTGTAATTTGGTTGTTTCTGATCATTTTGTAACCTAGCGAAGATAGGAAGACCAAAATGATCACAAAAAAACAAATTACAGGTTAAACATCCCACAGACAACAGGAAGAAATCACACGTTTTCTAGACATCCTAGTCTGTCTCCCTATTCTCGCTGGCTTTGGTCTATTTGGCTCTTTTTGGCTCACCATCTTTGTATAGTGGGTATGTGTCAAAAACATATTTGATAGACCAAAGCAGAAAGGATAGGCAGACCAGGGTGTTCAGAAACAGCCAAACAATGTATTAGTACCGCCCATACCTCAACGAGAACCTCATGATAAATAAATTTTATTTTTAACATAAGTAGATTTTTTTAAATAACAAGATGTGCAAAATAGTTGGTTTTCAATTGAAATTTGTTTGATGGTTAAAATAATTATAATTAAAAAAAGTTGCTTTTAGCCTTTGATTTCTAAGTTGAAATTTTTCATGCACTTTTTCATGCACAACCATGATATTGTTGTTTTAATTATTTTTTGTTTTTTAGTTGGGCACAGAAAGACAGTAATGTTAAAGTTGAAAGAGAAAGTTCATTGCCTTATGGGAGCCTTGAAACAAACATTTACACCAAAAACTTCCCTGAGTGTAACGGTGACATACAACCGTCTTTGCACCATTACAACAGTTTTGAGAATGTCAGTCTACCCCCATTACCACCAGAAGTGCCAGAGAGTGCCCAGCCACGTCAACCTTATTATTCACAGATACCTGTAATTTTGTCCTTAATTTTGAGTTTTATTGCCTGAATTGATTAATAATATAAAAACTAGAGAAAAACTTTTGTTATTAATTAATGTTTTATTCGTAATTTTTTGGATAACTATGGTTGGTTTTTAGGAGTATGCCAAGTTGCTAATCCCTTCGCAACCTCCTGTCCAAGAATCCCAGGGGACTTACGCAAATATCATCGAATCGGAGCTCAATGAAAAGCTGAGCCAGATCTGGCTAAGCTCTGGGAGCCTTTCTGAACAATCCAAGGTGCAACTTCATAACCAGGTTATAGCCGATATCAAAAAGAAAGCCCAAGGAAGGAACCTGTACGACCCAGTTGAGGCCAATTACCAAAGAGTCATTTATCAAACTCAACAGCCACAGGTGATTTTTTTTTCCAACTTTGGGGTTTGTTAAAAAAAGGGTATCTATTAAAAAAATTTTGGTGGCAAGTGCCAAACCAGACAAAAGATAAACAAAGAGACAGGGCTTAGAGATGGAAAGGGTTAGGGCTCGGCGGATAGAGTAAGAAAGAGTATTTCATAGGTGGGGGCACAAATGAGGAAGAAATGACCAAACACAATAATTCTTTGATTTGCTGTGGGGATAGTGGTAAGAAGAGTGGGAACTAGTTTGATGGCATGTACTTCAAAGTCATGCCAAAGACATTTTAAGGTTGTAATGACTACTTTAAATAATTAAATCTTTAATTTTTTTTGCAATTTATGGTGAAATGGCCAGCAAAATACTAGAAGAGGTACATTGTATGCTTTTTGAGTTTTGCAAGGGTAGCAATGCAACAGTTGCTACCAGAAACATTGCAATGTTTAACCAAGTGCATTAGATGTTCGTAATTGCCAACAGTGGTGCTCTAAGTTCAAATCTGGTAATTTTGATCTTTCCCACTCATATCGATCAGGAATACCAACAACTTTAGATTAAGACAAGTTAAGTCCGGAAGTGGAAGCAAATCCGTTTTAGACAATTGAGGAACTGTCGAGCACTCTTAACCAGTGTTGGTCGATCATCCAAGAACATTTGCAGCAGATTGGTAGAGTAAGCAGTGTTGGAGTTTGCTTCAGCAGTACAATACAAATTTTTTTTTTGTGTGTATGTTTGGTGGAGTATTCGTGGGGTTGTTCATTTTGAAGTGCTGAAACCTGGACAAACTGAATGCATACCTTTACTGTGAACAATTAGATCTAGTGAATGAATTATTAATTGAAAAGTGCCCAGCGATTGTAAACTGAAAAGGTGTTATTCTGCTACAAAATAATGCAAGACCGCACTGAGCAAGATGAATCCCTGGAAAAAATAAAGGAGAAGGAAGTATTGCTTCACCCGCCATACTTGTCTGATATTGCTCCATCTGATTTACATTTATTCTGATTGCAACAACATTTTCTAAGTAGCAAAAAAAAAAATTAAAATTTGGATCATGTCCAAAATGCCATCTCTAGATATTTTGCTTAAAAACAATTGATTTTTATCGATCTGGCATTGAAAATTTGCACACTAGATGGCAAAAAGTTGTTGATAATGAGGGTGGTTACATCATTGATTAAAAATAAAACTTATGAAAAATTTATCTGTTTGAATTTAATGTAAAAAAACAGCAATACTTTCTGGTCCCCATTCCTTATCCTAAGTTAGCCTAATCGTTTCAGCAGGTCTGTGGATACTCGATATTCCACACAGACCTAGTGATTCACTTGACCATTCATGCAAATAAATACATTCACACAATAGAGTAGTCACCAGGGTTTTTGATATGCCAGTGACTGGGACTTATCACGCGGCAAATTTATATAAAACTAAATGACCTAGATTCCTTTTGGTGTGACTGGGTACTCTATATTCCATCACAGACACACCCAACGTACTACAACATTCACACTAATAAATACATTTGCTCAAATTAAGAATATTATTTTAACATACAGTTTGTCTACTTCAGGTATCCTATTGACTTCTTATTATAACTACTATTGTGCTTTAAAAGTTGTTCGTCTGAAGGCAGGCCAATATTCTTTTCAGTGCTCTACTCGCACTTTGCTCACATTTGTTTTATTGATATTTGTGCACTGCATTAAAAGGCATCTTGATGGTCTTTTTTTGGCAAGGAGATGCCCATATAATATTATTCATTTAAAAGATAAATTGGTAAGATTTTTTTATATTGAGCATTATAAAAATTTTCTTTTTTCTTTTAGTATGAACAGTTAGTCAGTGACTTGATGTCTTTAGTCGAAGGAGCTACGTATGAAGAGTGTTACAATGCTTTGGCTAACACTTCCGGAAGTATCTACGATGCACTAAAGTTTTTGAAAGTGGAGCGATTGTTAAGGTTGTTGCATTGTTAGATTCTGCTTATTACGTCTCTCTAATAAAATATTAATTTGTAGGCTGGGTTTGGCATCGAGGCAGCAGTGTGAAAAGGAGCTTGAAAAATGTCAGTGGGATGTCATCGTTGCCGCTTCCCAACTTCTCGACAACACCAGAAGTTAAGCTTGGTTAATTATTAGTTCCAGTTTTTTGTTTTTGGTTTTTTGAAATAATTTATATAAGTATAGTTTTATTGCTAAATTTTCTAGGTGCAATTTTAAGTATTATACAAATCGTAAATGTACCTTGATCAAAGTGTCCCTTTCTTTGTCATGAATACTCGGCTAGTTATATCGAAACGTTTATCTTATATTTTTGTAAAAACGGCTGTTGTTAGATGTTAGGCAACATTTTTAATGAATTTATCGATTGTCAATCTTTCTTCCAACAAAAAATGAAAAAAAGACTGAAATAATGAACGGTTGATATGGAAAATGGTTTTCCTCAAAAGTTGCCTTATATTGAAATATTTTTAAGTTTCTTTACTGTACATGAGGTAAATGTTAACGCACTAAATTGACATGACAAAAGCTTTAAAATATAGTTACATATGTATAAAAGTTATTTAAAAAAAGTTTAATATAAAATGCAAATTAAACTTATTTTGAAACAAATGTAATACGATAAAAATATATTTATAAATAATTACCATGCGGATGAGACTTGATATCAAAATAAAAATTGTTATTATTAATGTTTATTTCATATTTTTTATCCCATATCAAGAAAGGTTTGAATTGGTTTTAGTTACCAAAGAGGATTAAAATGCGATTGGTAATACTTTAAACAGTATTTGTATTTACAAATGAAAATTCTTTCTTAACACAAATCTTCCAGTCACAGTTACCCAGTCTTTCCAATTATTATTATCAATCTGGTAAACTATTGATATAACCTATTGTTAATTGTTGTATTTAGTTAGGGTTAATAAGACAAAAAAATCACTGTTATGTACAGGAAAGTGCACTGTTTTTTTGTTTTGTTAGATAGGCTGGCGTTTCTGTTATGTGTCAGTGTTTAGAACAGCCAAAATCCTTATGTCCAAAATATGTTTTTTAAGTTCTATTTTGTTTAATAAATCTTGTAATTTAAAATTAAGTATGATTTGTGATATAAATACAAAAGGAGATATAGTGAGTATGTTTGTTTTTTACCCTTTTAATTTTTTCTATTTTCAAGATTTGTCAGGGTGCTGAATGCAAAGTTGTTCAACTATCAAAATTACATATATAAATAATTTGTTCTGTTGGCCAAATTTTCAAATTAATAATTGCCATCATTGCACTGAAAGATGAAAAAAAATATTGTAGTGCAATTATTTAATATGTTCAAATTTGTTGACAATTTTTTTAAAAGAATTTTTCTATTTTTTTCTTAATTCATAGGTAATGTTATTTTCAATTAATTAATCTTTAATTAAGGTGTTGATTGAGATAAAAAAGTCATTGTCATGAGTGGGATTCGAACTCACGATCTTCGGCTAAATATGCCACTGCTTTACCACTTAAGCTATCCTGACTTCGACTGACTTTTTTATCTTAACCAAAACCTTAATTAAAGATTTATTAATTGGAAAGAATTTATTTGGTCAATCGGACCACGAAACCTAATAGAGGTAATTGTTATATTATATTAAATCATTTCAGTGCAACCTCTGGACTATTAGTTACTAGGCAAAATGTCATCAGTTTGGATTGAGTGATATTGCTTTTAAAAAAAAATTTAATAAATTGTTCACTAATAATATAATGAATACATTCACAATGGATAGGTGGGTAGCGTTTTTATTTTTATTTATTTTTATTTTATTTCATTTATTTATTATTTTTTTTTTTTTTTTTTTTAGGAACACCCTCATCATACATTCATACCCATACAGTTACCTTTTGCAACATTAGCTGTTGTATTTGGTTAATTTTGATGACCACTCACAGGGATGGCTACAGACGTGGATCACTTATTTCAATCCATTTTTTTGGTGATTTCCAGGGAATGGAAATTTTATCAGGCCTAAGAGCTGAGAAAAAGATTTAAAGTAAATTTTGTAAAATATTTTCTCCTGCTGTTGCGTCCGTGTATTTCAAGGTTATCATTCATATATCAGTTCTTTTATGTAGAACAGAACATAAAGCGATTAAATACGTAAAAAGTTACAAAAAACAAATGGCACTAGTGAAGTAGAAACAAAAAAATCAGATTCATTTCAAGCATCTTTTAATACCCTTATGTACAAATTTTCAATGGTAATAAAAAGAAATAGTCATTTTTGAGCTGAATTCATCAGAGGCAATTTTTTTCTGCTGATGTCTTGAGTTCCACTTAAACATTCATAATCCTCTGAATTTTATCCAGATTGAATGTTTATACAACCATTGATAAATGCAATATTTTTTTTTTTTTGTTTTGTTAATAATGTTTAAATTTTATGTCATAAAGAATGAAATTAAAAAATAAATAAATCAAAACTGCTAGTTTTATTTTATTTCTTCAGTTCTAATTTATTTATGGAAGCGAAATTTGTGATAATTTGAACTCAGATTTATAGGCAATAAAAATCCTCAAATATGCCACATAATATGCACTAATAAAACCTCAAATGGGGGGCGTCGGTGGCCGCAACGGTTTAGGCGTTGACACAACACTCATCACTGTAAGGTAAAGGTCCCGGGTTCGAATCCAGCGGCCCTGCATTCGAACCCAACATACTTACAAATGGTTTTTTTTTTTTTCAAAAACACCGGCACCCTGAGGGTTTATATCTGCTGTTGCGAATCCTCGTAAAAAAAAAAAATAATAATAATAAAACCTCAAATATATGTGTACTAAAAAATCCCTCAAAAATCATATAATTTGTACTAAAAATAATAAAATAAGCATGAAAGACACACATCATCCTCTAACAACTTTTTTTAACCTAGACATACATTTTCTTTTTGGTCTAGTATATATTCAATTTGAAAGGAAATAAGGAAGAAAAATATCAGTCACACAAAAAATAGTAAAAAATGAATATCAACTTTATTTGTTGCTAAATTAATTTTTTAACCTACTTTGCAACATCATATACAAATTATGTATTTTGATATCTATGATACAATTTCTATAGATGGGTGCAAAATTCATTTTGATGTAGTGATGTAGGTTAACATATTTTTTTAGAAAGAAAAAAAGTTAATATTTGTTTTTTGCACCTCCTCCCCAGAAAACAACCTGAATGTACAATTGGGGAAAATCAAAATATATTTTTTTCATTATATAAATAATAGATAACATAATTTTTAATAAAATTTTATAATTTTAATTAACATAATTTTAAAACAAGGTTTTGGGTTACTATATCCCAATCTCCAGAGACTTAACCGTCACAACACCACCGTCAGCTGACCCTCTGTAGCTAAAAATGCAATAAAAAACATGAATTAAAGAAAGTGGCGCCAGAGGGCTGGATTGGCAGGGAAGCTGTCACATATCAAAATCACTGTCGATAGTTGGCCTCCGGTGGATATGACTCGTAGAAGAGGGGTCATCATCACTGAGTTAGAGTAAACAACGCAAGGTTGATACATGGACACTCAATTTCGGGACAAAGCCCGCGAATGTGTTAGGCATGTAGAGAAAGATTGGGTCCCACCTCGTTGAAGGGCACAATTCCTTGGCTTCATATAGAGAGCGTGTAGGGACGCCACCCGATATGAGAATTGTGCCTAAGCACTGCAGCCAAAATCTGGGTCCCCTGTTCTGATGTTTGGGGAAAACAGGGTTGTTTTTTCTATGTACTACTGATAGTTTTATGTCCATAACATGTGTTGAGAGTGAAGGTATTTATGGACATGAATATGCAGTGAGAGAGGGCCGATGATGGGATATAAATTATCCCGTTGACTGTCAATTAAGTTAGTTATAACAGGTGTAAAGGGTGATTGAAGAATATCGAGTACTCTACTACCCAGAGTGAATGGTATGTAAATAGGAAATAATGTATTTCAGTGAGTGGGTTTGGCTTTAAAAGCTGATTGCATTGAGAACTTAAATGACCTAGTTTTTGATACTCCTTGGAACTAGGGACTAAACTCCAAAAGAACTAGATCTGTCCCTAGACTGCCAATACTCAGGGTGGTTGATTCTCAATGACTGCTGGTAATTTATTGTAAATTACAAAGCTGGAATTGCCAGTGTACTGTGAAAAGTCAAACTCAAATGTCTGTGTATGTACATGCGTGTGCAGATTTCAACTTAGATAAATCAATCAGTTTTGAGTTATATGTATGTTTTTGTCTGTCAGTCTTTTATCTATTGTTTTATTGATGTTACTCTGCTTGGTTCCTTTCCCCTTCGCACTCACTTTTTCATCTTTCTTTTTCTGAAAATATAACACAAAACATGGTTTTTGCATCTGAATATTAAGGGTGAATGATATGATAAGGCGCACTTTGAAAATGAAATATAATTTTTTAACGAACAATTAAATTAATAATACATGTTTTATGCAAAGTTTTAACTCTGCAAAACTTCCTTATTTACCTCTTCAATCTAACTATTTGTTTGTTCCACTCAAATATTATACATATATATCTTATTATATACTAATAAATAAATATATATATATCTATAATATTTGACTCTTTCAAAAACGACGAATATTACTGTTAAGATTGCTCTAATTAATACGTACATTATATAAATAAATATATTTATGATATTTATTTATATACTGACCTTTTTAATTTGTACACACAATAACTCACACACCAACTCTGGCAGTGACAGATAGCTTATCTTTAAAATCAGTTTATATTTTGTGTTTTTTGTTTTTGTTTTTTAAATAATTTTTTTTTTGTAATTTTTTTTAAATATTTTTACATTTTTTTCCTTTTTTGTCTTAATTTTTGCTAATTCGTAAAAGACGAATATCGTCACAATGTCTATTTCTGCATTAAATATAATTATTCAATACTAGAAAAAAAATATAAAACAAATAAAATTCTTCACAAATAAACCATCTCATAGCACTCGTTGGCACTGCGCGGTACCGTCAAACGTGAGACTAACGGCTAACAACTTCAATAAACTTCACATCACATAATAGTAATAGATCACCATTATTATTATTTATTATTATATTCATTTTTTCATTAAATATAAAAATTGTCCAATAACAAAACTGAAAAGGATATGAGGACCTTTATCCATATTTTCCTCTGCCATACCATGTTTTTACTTTTTTTGTAATATATTTTAAAGGCCTTTTAGTTAAATATTTGCTTACAAGAAATTAATCCTGCAAAATTTTTACAAATTATCCTTGTTAAATGTTTAAAACACAACAATCTATACACTGTTTTAAAAAGTACAATATAGAAAATTTGCGACAGAACAAAATTGGTTTAATTTAATTTAGCTAAGTTAGGAAGCCAAATTAATCTACCTTAACAACAATAAAGTTTGAAAGACTATTTATTTTATATTTTAAATATTACGTATTATCAAATAATGCAAATAAAATATATACAATGTAAAATATTTTTATTTTATTATTACCAAATTGCTAAATTGAAAATCCTTTGACACAACCTTTATTTTCCCTTTTGACTATTTTTAAAGTTTTTATTAAAAAAGTAAAAAGATATGAAGAATGAAACAATAAAAAAGATCTGGTTTTCTCATTACTTTAATTACTAATGTTTTATATTTTTAATTTATACTTTTTCTCATTTTTTCTTTTTTTTTATTTATTTATTCATGTTTTTTGGAAAACCCACCAAATTCTCATCTAGTGTAAAACATGCAATTTGTGCTTTCTGACCGGTAGTCTAAACACAGTGGTCCTCAACCGTATATATTTTTTTTTCTCTCGTGCATGAGACAATAAATAACAATAAATATATGTATATAATATTTACGTTCGCAATACAATGTATATATATATTATACAAAAACTGCATCTCTCTGTCTGCCTGAGGCTGTTCTGACTGTACAATTCACAAATAAATATCACATGGTCTGTTAATTGTGTGTTCGACCAGTACAAACAACATTCTTTACAGTCGAACAGCCACATTCAGAGTCTGTTATCTATTTAAAAAGAAAAAATTACCAAGATTACCATCGAATAATGTAATTGAGGTTTAATTATTTCCTTGAACAATTTCCTATTTGATATACAAGATATATACCAATTTATTTAAATATACCAAATAAGAAGGTTGAAAACCACTGACCTAATGTACAATTTTTCCTATACATCCCTTACTATTTATAGATCAAAAACACATAATCCTCAAAATGTATAATCCATTTTTGTTTTTGTTTTTTATAAACAACAAATTTTTGGCACAAATTCTTCAATTTGACACAGTAAAATCAGTTCAATAAATTATTGTTTATTTTTTTAAAAAAACCTAACTCGCCTTTTATTTATTTGTCATGATGTTAACATTTACTTAGACAACCTGATTTTTTTTCTTTTTGTTAAAGCCCAACTGTAATAACAGAATAACAATATCATGAATCCTAATTTCTTTAAAATATTTTAATAATAAATCTTTGTATTAAAATCGGCTAAATTGTTGACATGTCTAATGGGTAAATAGGTCAGTAAAGAAATATACCCTATTTAAAAATTAGTACAACTGATTTTCAGCTGTACAATGAACAATAAACTTTTTATTATCATTTATTTTTTTAAGAAAAAATATTAGAATATTCGACTTTAGAATATTTGGTTTTTTTAATAATATTTTTTATTACTTTATCAATTGATCTGTTTTTCAGAGAATCCCAATTTTCCTGAAACTGTTATTTATGTAAATGTAATTTTAAAAACATTCATTTAAAAATGCGATGAGCACTTTATTAACCGGTCTTTCAATTTTTTATCCAATAACCGATTAAAAAACAGAGCAAAACATTTTTTTTTCTTCTAAAATTGTCCTTAATAGTCCATCTGAAATATTTACACGCAGACACCTGACATTTGTCCAGGCCGCACCAAAAACCAAAGGCAAAATACAAAGGAATGAAATAAAATGGGTGTTCGTCTGGCAGTCCGCCTCCCAAATTATTTCATTTGACAATAAATTTAAATACCCGTTTTGTTTTCCAACTAGACCAAGGATGAGACAAACACAGAGTCTGAAACAGTAATGTGCGTCTGTCAATTTAGGGAAGGGGTATAAAGCGGAGGAACGCACTGATTTGAGCGATATTAACAAACTATGTCTACTTTGTGCTAAGTGACTCTCAACACTTGGATTGTCTCATATCCTGTCATCTTCATCTTCATGCTCTTCCTGAGGATCTTCACTCTCCTCTTTGTAACCTGGGTGCTCAGAAATCGCATAATAATTACCATTATAAATTACTCCAAGTTCTCTGAGCACATCACCGCGTATGGTCGCTTTAATCGTCCAATTGTAACAATCTTCTGATTCACTTTCACGGTCTAGACGTTCGACATCGAGGATCTTCGAACTGAGCCTCTCGAGAATAATGCCAATGTCTTTGATAGTCAGGTGCCGTTTCTGGTCCACTGATAACTGATCGATGAGCAGGAGGAATTTTTCTGTTGTGACCGCTTCATCCGTCCCGGCCTCCGTCTCCGATTCTGAGCTGTCCTCTTGTCTTCTGGCTCCTTCGATATCCAAGAACCTCACATGACCTTTTGCGGATCTCGCCGTCCTCGGATGGTGCGGTGACGGCGAAGCCGATAGCGAGTCTTGGATCGGGCTGGTCGCTACAGATTTGTGCACAGCAATTTTCCGTCCTTCCTCGTGAAGGGAACAGCAATGGAAATCACACTCAGTTGCAGAATTTCCTGGTGAGCCACTCCTCTGGGGCGTGTGTGCATGATTCGAGCACTCAGGAGTGTGTACATGGATTGTAGTCGCTTCAAAAGAACCTGACCCTGATCCGCTCCCACGCTGAAGTTTAGGATACTGTTCATCATGATTAATCACTGTTATCTGAGGGCTTGCCTGATACCTGTAAACAAGTTTCAAATAAAATTAAATACATTCCACATAAATTGTACTAAATAGCTGAGTTTAGTTAAAATCTTTTTACAAAAAATGCATGTTGTACTACATATTCATCAAAATCAGCACTTATTTTAGACATATTGTAAAGCATATACACTTAATACATCAATGTAATCAATTGCGATTAATTATATTATTTCTTAAAGTTTTCTGACGAATGATTGGAGCAGTGACCAGTATATTGCTTCATATTTAGGGATGGTTAGGGTTATATTTAATTATATAAAGTTAAAAGTAGAATATTCATTTAAGGCGACAATGTTCTATTCATCAATATTAATCTTAACCATGAAACTCTTGTCAATAAATTGTTAATTGAATGCTCACATGACCTTTCCAATAATTTTTAATTATTACATTTACCTAGGAGGATAGACATCATTAATAACAGTCTCTTTTTTTCCAGTATTACTGTCTACGCTTGTCTGTATTACAAGCGACGGTTGCTTTCTTGGAGGAGCGGTCAAAGGCTGAGGTGAAGCTTCTTTCCTTTGCTGATCCCAATGCAGTACGACGGTGACACGTCCCTTATTGTCCATGATCTTCCATGAAGGACTCTCATCCTGCAGCTCTAACGCATGGATTGTCTCACATACGATTTTCGGTATCGCCGATATCGCTGGAACGAGAAAAGAATTTTGTTTGAGTCGATTTTTATACGGTGAGGTGCTCCGTATACCAACCAGTGCGTATTACGTCAACCCCAGTTGGGTACCACCTTTCTCCTTGACGGAGGAGTAAAATCACAGTATTATTGGGAAGGGTCCTGAAGTACTCGCCGTCCTCGACCTGGGTGCCGTCACTCTCTAGAACCAATCTCACTGGTTCGTTCACTGGTACTTGTAGCTTTTCTTTGCCTGTAATTAGACATAATTAATTAACTTTTGTCCTAATTGTAGATAATTTTGTTTTTAATTTTAAAACTCACCTTTTGTTTCTAAGTCTTTTAAACTAGTCACAACCAGACTTTTCCTAATATTACGCCAACTGTCCCATATCTTAAAGGGCCTCTTGCCTCTCAGCTCCTGGACAAAACAAAATAAATGTACATTTTCAACAAAAATATTTAGTTCATTCTTCTTGTACATTAACCTATTTAACATTTTTTTATTAAGATAAATATAAAAATGGCCTTGATATCAATTAAACAAATATTTTTAAAGAGTGTAAATGCAATTAAGTTAGCTCAATTAAATGCCAGGGGGACTGGAAGAAAATAGGGTTGGGGGATAGTCCCTTCATGGCCATATTATTAGCAAGGATGTGTCTCCCTTCACCCACAAAACGCGCCCTTGGCATTCCTCTCATGAGGCTCCAGAATTCTGTGAAGTTAATCAGCAGGAAATGTACCACATTTGAAAATATGAATTTTTTTTCCATGCGTTTCCAAAAAGAAAGCGAGTCTGATGAGGGGAGGCTGATGCCCCCGAAATCGTTATGAATAAAAAGAAAATAAGTTTGATGGTTGTCTGGCTTTGTCCTGAAAAGAAACCCAAGAAATATAAAAAGAGTAAAAAATATAGTCTGATTTGTATTGTTCATTCGCATAAATTGCACAGTATATAACAAAAGTCAAATAAATAATAATATTTTTTTCCAATGTCAAGAATAATATTTAATAAAATTTTACTTCTGATTATTATGTGTCATAAAGTTGTACATTTAAACCTGATAATAACTGTTAAGCAAAGTTTTAAAAATTAACTCCCTCTTTTAAACATAAATGATACCGGGTAGTGTACACAAGAGGCTGAGGGGCCACAGAGATCTGACAGCTTTAACTTACTGACTTCCCCTGATAAAATTGTCCCTTCCATATCTACTGTTCTACATGTTTCTCAGTCTTACCATGTTGAAAATACTGGATAGTATTTCATTAAAAAGAAAAATAAAAAAAAAGAAGAACACGATACAAATTATTGTAATTAAAGAAACCTATAATGGAACTCAGCAACCTTCATAGTTTTTTTTTAATATACTATTTTCAAAATAGATTAGTTAAAACAACAATTGTATCTGTTTAAGTACAATTAATAATAAGTATTTGATGCTATTTCTACAATTGTTTTGTAATTAAATTGTTTACTTTGTGTACTCATAAAATTTATTATTTAATAATAGAGAGATAAATTCTAATTCTATGATAAGACAATATATAAGATTATTAAGTAATGTGTGATGATTAGTGATCGTTAGTTAATGATTATTTGGAGATCGTGAGATGAAGTCTGGTGGGATGTAGGTTTTAGAAAAACATTTTCTTTATCATGCCAACATTTTGATCTTTATTGAGATATCTTCAGGGCTCAAAGTGTTTGTTCTCTGTGTCGATGTGTCATTCTTGTGTGTCATGTTGAGAGTGCCCACTAAAAAAAATTAATTCATGGAATCATGGACAACCTACATCCTCAACTCATGCTCATTGAAGGGCAATGGCAAGGGACACAAAAGCGTTTTTTCCTGGCATATTAAAACCATTCTTGACTATTGTTTTACAAATTATTTTTTCACAAATAAATTTCATAATTTAAAAGTGTTTGTGTGTGTGTTTATATTTTGTGATTTTCAGGTACTTCTCTCTCTTTCTTTTTCTCGCTCTCCTGCATGCTCTCTCTCTCTCTCTCTCTCTCTCTCTTTCTTTCTTTCTTTCTTTATTTATTTCTTTATTTATTTCTTTATTTCTCTCTCTAAATGTATAAATGTAATATTTCTCAGGTTAGACCCAAATGACAAGAAAATGACTCCAACCTGGCATCATAACACTGTTCAACATATTTGCTCTAAAAGGCTCAATGGTCAATATCATTGTCCTACTCTCAGATCATTTTGTAGGCAGTGTCAGGACTCATGTGCTTTGGCAAACTTTGCCTTTATTGAAGTTCTTGAATTAGCGATGCTAAGGCTGAACTTAGTTCAAAAATTAGAGTAAATTATTTATACATATTGATATGATGTTGATGGTGGGTTTTGGTCTGTGAGTCGGCGAACACATCTCAAACCAGCACAGGGTCACTTACAGGGGTCCATCTGAGTTCTCCATTGAAGATGGCAGAAAGCCGAAACATGTTTGAGTAACATCAAAAACTGGCTACTGTAGGTTCATCTATGTGCACCAGTTCAACATATTTGATACGATATAATATGATGGTTTTGAATAATTTAATTAAAGTACCAAATGGAAACCACACAAATGTGAATTATGTTCAATTCAAGTTAATCATACAGAATTAACAAACACATAAACACACCACACATATATGAAAAAATATTTTAAAATAAAATCATTTTGTAATCTATTTGTGATTTTAGTATTGGTAGTGTATTTTATTACATATGTTTAGAAGGATTAGTAGTTTCTACTGTAATATTTACTTAGCATTAGTAGTAGTATATAAATATAAATAATATTACATGGTCTTACATAGTTTTTCATAAAAAGATTCTCAGCAAAAAGAAGCAGAAAACTCTCTTTTTTTTTTAATTTCTTATTAATGTTTTACAAAGGAATGCTCAAGAGATAGTTTAATAATTTAGATAAAAAGTAGAATTTGATTTCATAAATTTCACTTGAGGATGTTTTGTGTAAGATTATTAATGGTGATGTGTCGTTTGCTCTTCGAACTACATTCATCATTTTAATTTAATGAACGACAACATAAATAAGAAAGTAGATTAACAACGTATCCAAATTTGTATTAGTGTCAATTTTAATTTTGACAATTATTTGTTATTTGATCGAGTCGAGAGCGTTTGAGCTGATGGTAGGGAAAATTGTTAAGAAAGCACAGGTTGCCCTTTGACAATCTCTTCTGGGACAGTTGTTTTTATAAATTTACATTCTGAATAAAAAATTTCAGAAAAAAATTTTACTATATTAAAATATTTTATTGCTGTAATTGAATACCATTTGAAGAATAATGGACTCCAGAATGTTTAATGAATTAATAAAAGTAAATTTAAATAGTTTACATATACAGGACAGTGTCTAAAAGGTGCTTTGATTGATAATTACAGTTTAAGAGTTTAAATTTAAATTAAAATGTGAAAATGAATTTTTAAAAAATTAATTAATTATATCATTCCTCCTAGTTGGCATATTATGTTAATTCAGTACCAGTTTTTCATGTGTATACAAATGTCTAATTTAAACAGTGAATTATATAGGTTTTATATTTATTAAATAAATAAAAAATTCAGATTTAAAAAAAACTATTTGAATACACGTTAAAAATTAGGTTTAATTTGAACCAAACAAGAAACAAATTACATTAAAAAAAAAGAAAATGATAGAAAAGACAACTGGTGAGAATAGAGGACAAACAGATAGAGATGGTAGAAATTTTGAAGACTTATGGAGAATGATAAGACAATAAGAGAGAGGAGGATGATATGTTTAGAAAAAAGTAAGCTTTGAAAAAAAGAAACAATTTAAAAACACAGCAAGAGAGAGAGAGAGAGAGAGAGAGAGAGAGAGAGAGAGAGAGAGAGAAGAGCGAGAGAGAGAGAAGAGCGAGAGAGAGAGAGAGAGAGAAGGAGAGAAGAATGTGCTAGAGAAAAGGACAAGGATGGATGGAATGAGTGAACGAGGTTTGTTTACGGCGCTCTCAATAGGCTAAGCCATCCATTCCAATCGGTCGTGCGGATTTAACGAACACATTTTTATGAAAAACCACGTTAAATTAATTAATTATAAAATAATTTATTGCTCAATTATTAACGAAGAAATTTATTTACTGGAAGTATCCCAATGATAAATCATATGGACTGTATTAGTTATTTTGCACATTGAATTATGGACAAAAATACAAATGAATGACAAAACGTGCTAATATGTTTGCTTGAGAGATTTATTTTATTTATTTTTTATTTATATGTCGTGAGGAGAGTAATAAAATTGTTTGAATAAATACTTATATATTATACATATTTTATAGCAGTTTGTATTTCGGCGTTGCAGACTGGCTAAACCATCAAAATTGATCGGTCGGGTAGGTATGGTCTCTTTGAGCGCCGTTTATCAAGCATTGAGGAGGAAATCTTCCCAAGTCTTGTCTGAACTTTTCATCGCAAGCGTTTTAAATTAAATGTCAAAATAAAACAAATTATGAAAAATGGAATTGGTTTTCATATTTAATTTGATGTGATCTGCAGCAGATGAAAATTTAATTAGTTGTTATTGTTTAATGTTAAAATAATTGATAGTGATAGCATTGAATAGACTGAGGCTTAGTGGGATTGATAAAATTGGCGCAGTGGGAAAAAACTAGATACATTTCTCCCGAATGTTTGGCGAGGGGGTGGCTGAAAAAAACACCCCGTACTTAAATTACAAACAGCTGGAAAAGACTGCAAGGGTAAAAATAGTGTCGGTCTCAGACGTTAAAGGAACTTCATCCAATAATCGTAAAGTACGACATCTTGTAAATTTTATTTTCTCCTCAAAGCTGTCATTGATGAAAACTTATAATTTTTCTAGTATTTTGTCAAAACTTGAGACATATTTTTTCTCGACAACGGGTCGCTTGCTCCTTGGAAAACAGAACCGTTCCATCCTTCTCGACAACTTTTCAAACGGTCGGGGCATGTCAGAAAAAGACAAACTGCCCATATTTTTACGTTTATGTTACATCAGGTCGAAAAGTAGTTATACTTGTAATCTCAGGGTTTTATATCAAGGCTAAATCTATCGATTCACCGGTTTAATATGCACTTAGATTATTGGAGATAAGGATGGTTTCTATCTCACGCGACCACTAAAGAGGGCTTACACACTCGGTTTAAATAGTATATCATAGTCACGGCATTTTGCAAAATTGAAACTGTTCAAAATAAAGACCTAGAGTAATGAATTTCGTTTTATAAGTTGGCCTTTACGTAGTAATTTTTTTTTTTAAATTGTATTGCTAGGAAGTTTATTAATTTTAAATCTTGGTAGAAAACGAACAAAAAATGTATTACTATTTACTTGATCATCTACATAATAAATTGCGCAAACTTTTAAACCTAAATTAAACAAAATAAAATCATTTTTAGATTATTTTAGTATTATTATGAAAACATTTTTTAATCCTTTGCTAATCCTTTTAAAGTGACTTAGAACAGTTGAAACTTTAAACTCAAATGATTCCATCCAGTTGTTTCTGTTGATTTTTTTATAAGCTCGTTTTATTAAAATAATCGATTTATATGTAAATATGAAATGTAACATTGTAAATGTTATCCTCAAGTTAGAGAAAATTTTAGACCAATTATCAATATTACTAATTTATTAATTTTTATTTAATTGTAGGCTATAATTTAATCTTAAATTCGGGATATTTTGAATGTCAATTTGTCGCTAAACTTTATTATAGATTTAGATTCTGAAGTAATCTGTAAGTAAATAAAATAATTTAATCCAAAGTTAAAAATGTTATAATTTTAAAAATCTGAATGTTTATTTATTGGGCCCTGATGAAGGTGAAATAAATCGTCGAAAGCTTGGCAAAATTAAGTGCGTCAATTTCATTTGCTGACTTTTTATACCAGGTATTAAGAAGAAAATTAAAACTTAAGTGTTGATCAATATAATAGTATGATGAAATAATAGATTTCTGGATGAGATAAAAGGCTCCTTAGTTTCGTAAAACGGTACGCTGTTAGCTCCAAAAAGTGGCGAGAGCTTTTTTTTTATCATAAAAACATTGATGTTGAATAACTGAGCTAAAGAAAGAAAACGTAAGGAAAAAAAGAAAGTCACGAGTCTAAGATAGAAAAGCGATAAAAGTGCCAAAGCAACCTGCCTACAACAGCACCTAGGTTCAAGTTTTAAGGAATATAGATCTCCGTATTTTTTTTTTTTTTTTTTTTTTTTTTTTTAGTTGAATTTCTGACGATTCACAAGTGCTCACGTTTCTGAACATCAGGTGAAAAACATTGTAACATCATAAAAGGTGTTGGTGGTAAAGGGTAGCCAACAGGAAAATTTTTCAAATGTGTCTGTTGTCTCGACCCCCTACACTTTGTATATTTTTACCTTTTTAAGCCCAAAGTTTGATACAAATTTTTAAGTTGCTTATTAACATAAAAACGTGAAGTTTAATAGATTTTTTCTTCCTTTAGGTTTCTGCTTAATACACACAAATACAATATAGTAATTTACCTAACGTACCTAATAAAACAGTTACTTTTTACCTAGAATTTGCTTTTTCGATAAACTTAGAAAAATTTTGTGATTTATTAAAAGTTTGAACCGGGTCTCGAAACTCCTTTTGTCCAGCGTGTCGACAGTAAAAAGTGATCAAATACCAACAGCAAAACAAATCATGATTTAAATTTTCTTGCTTGAATGAACAAATAGAAAAAATGTTAAACAGTGAACTTTACTTTTTATTATGCTTGTAATTTAATTTTTCGATAAACTTAGAAAACGTTTGTAACCGTAGGTCTACAAGTTTGTACCGAATCACACGAAACACCATTAAAAAATGTCCTTGGAGGCTCATCTGGCCAAAGATATAGGAAATGTCTTGTATAGATAAAAACAGCAAAAAAATCATGCTTTAAATTTTATTGCTTAAATGAACAGATTGAAAAAAAAGTAAAATAGTCATGATGAACTTCGACAAACTGTAGATCTAGAAGATGGTACCAGATCACTTGAAATAAAAATTAACCGTGGAGGTTCATCTGGCCAAAGATGTAGGAAAGAAAATAGATAATAACAAATTTAAAAAATCATCCAGTTTTTTAAAGGTTTATGTAATGGGACTGGATTAACGATATGACAATGTATGTTTTTCTCATTACGACAAAAACTAGACTAGGTAATACTGACAATCAAAAATCAGGTATGACCATAGAATCTTTTTTCTTTAGAAATTTGGCTGGGTTTTGAAACTCAAATCACCAATTTGGACGGTGTAACTATAAAATCCTTTTCATTACAGCCACCTTTAATTTTCAAGGGGAAACATAGTCACTGCGGCGCCCGCGTATTCGCGCACATAAATACGTTCAGGCTCGTCCACGTCCTAGAAGTACTTTCGCTCTCCTAGGCTTTTTCTTTGTTTCTCCGTCGATTTTTTCCCTACTCTGGACGTTGGAAGAGTTGAATATTTCAGGCCTGTAGAAACGGAACGGATCTCGTTCCGGCTCGGCAAGCTTCGGACTGGATCGACTTTCAGAAAAACCGTCTGACCGACAATCATGTTTTCTATTAAAACCTGAACGAAAAGCGATTTCCTCCAGAGGGAAGTCTTTACGGCCGTTTCCGAGAAAAGATTTTAAATAATCACGATTTATTACTTATTTTTTAATATATGGTTTGATTTTTGTTGTAATAATTAATGAAGGGGGATTTTTTAAAAAGCCGGCGTGTAATTATGGGCCAAATTGCAGGTGGAAGAGAAAGGACAAAATAAAGTAATAAATAATTAGGTCAATAGATGTGTGTAAATAGTAAGATTTAATGGCTACAGTTTTTTCTCACTGTCGCAGCATCCCTTTGTTTTTTGTTTTTTTTTTTCTCACACCTCTTCCTGCTCGTTTATTAGCCATTTATGGATCGTTAAATCCTTCGGAAAGGCGGGATTCGGCGAGTCAAAAGAGGATATCGCAGTTTATTAGGATTTGTGGATGAGTTTGATAAGGAAGTCAGGACGGGGGAGAGGCTTGCAGAGTTTCATTGATGGTCTTCTGGTCCCCCTCCCTTGACCCACTTTCCATCACTCGGTCTAACCTCGCACTCTCTTCTAATTCGACAGACATTTCCAATGCCGGGGCGGTCTAACGTCCCCCGTAGACAAGTAGAATGTGTAAAAGAGGAAAAAACCGTATGCGACAACGGCTGTTGTACGTTGTTTATGCAGAGGTTACATTGATGTGGGGCGTTATGTCTCAGTGCAGTACGAGACTCGAGACGTCCCTGCATTATGTTTTTAAAGGGTTCGAAGGTCCGACGAAGGGGTCGGGGCGTACCTGGTCGTCCCGATGTTGCAAAAGACGACTGTTTGTCAAGATTCTCTTAATATAAACAAAGATGAAAAAAATAAAACAGGGTTACTCACCTCTCTTGCCATTACATATCCTCTAAGGTGGTGGCATTAGTGAGCTCGCGTAAGCTTCCTAGGCCAACCGTTCTACCTCCGGCCCGGGAATCGGCCGGCGGCCGTCCGGATATGAAATAATTCTCGAAAGGCTACAATCCAGCAAAACCCACCCCTGGCGCTCGTCTGCCCATGGCAGCACCCAGCTCGACTCCCATACTGCCTAGTACTGCCATCTAGAATCGATTTCACTGCACCCACGCAGACCGAGAGCTTTCCCCACTACGGCCACCGCCACCCACACCCTCCACCCGCCCCCGGAGCGACTCGAATTTTCTCCTCACCCCGTCACACCCATCCCCGGCCTCCCAGAAAACAAAGCTCCCCTCGACCCCGCTTCCTTTCATCGCGAGTCCTTCACTCGTGGCACAGGGCCTTAATAAAAGACCTAACTATGCAGTTTCGCCGAGTTTGACCCCAATCACGATCTTACCATCAACAACTATCGTTTAGACCCTCAGTTTACACGGGCGGCGGGTGAAAAAAAAAAGCCTCATGCTTCAGAATCCTATCCACCCGCGTGAAATATGTCGTCGCTTTCACTACCTGACGAGAATTAATTTTACGAGATAACTTTGAAAAACACGACTACTTAACAAAGTAGACCGATACTTGTAAATATTCTCCTAACGGTGGAAATAGAAAAACAGAGAGAGAGAACCTATTTTTCATTTTTAGCTTTCGTCCAAAATTGAAAAAACACTTAAGCCCCTAGATGAAAAATACCTGACTGTTTGGTCAAAAGAAAAATCCATACTAACCTCTTTGTATTTATTAGTTATAAAGAAAAATTTCTAAATTAACATCAAACAAATCAAAGTTTTTATTTTATATTAGTAAGTCTGGCTAAAATTTAGCAAAAAAACCTAAGGCTACGTTTACTAAGGATGCGAATTCTGACGAAATTTTGTACTGACGAGTATGTCCGAAATCCTCGTCAGAACAAGGTGGTTACATTGTGCGCGTTTTCTCATAGTCAGTACGTTTCTGCTTCCCAGCAAAATGGACGAACGTAATAAGTTTTATTTTCTTGAAAGTCCGTTGATTCAGCTATTGTTGATAGGTGGTGGGAAAACAGATCATGTTAACCACTTATTTTCCACAAGAGACGAGAAGGAAGAGTTTCAAACTTATTGCTATCCCCTTAAAAAATGCATACTAATCCATGTATATTTAGCGGTCATAATTGATCATATTAATTAAAATGAAATGTGAAAAATGGCAAAAAGAGGGAAAATTCGAACGGTTGTAGGTTGAGATGAGTTGGTGTGAGGGGATCGAAGTCACGGTAGCTCAAGTGGTTAGAGCAGCGGCGTATTGAGCTGAAGGTCGTGGGTTCGAATCCCGCTCGTGACAATAATTTTTCGTCTCAACCAAAACCTTGGATTCCCGGGACCTTTACCTTACGTGATTAGCACTAAAACGTTGCGGCCACCGATGCCCTCTTAATATTATTAGATACTAGGTTAACTCTAAGTTATTTTTTTATATACCAAAAGTTAAACTTCTGATTTTTTACTAATTAATTTGTGAAATATTTCGTTTTAAGAATGCCCGTCTGGTCTTGCTTGCTTTCCTATAAGTGAAGATTGACATATACATTTCTAAAAATAATGAGATCTAGCAGAAATTACCTTTCAACTTTAGTACATTCGTATCTAATACTTATTTTCTCCTTAAATAGTGGTAAGGCGATGTAACTATTTAAATTTCTGTATATGGGAAAACACACTGTAGTATTAAGTAGGATATTTTCAGGTCATTGTATAATGTAAAAACCGCTAACTATAATGTAATTTATCTGGTGTGTTCATGTTTTTACAACAATAAGCAGTAAAACTATTATCAAACTGAAAAATAATGAAATTTTTTAAGGTTTTTGAACAGCAGTACTACGCGCATTCACTGCAGCCTTTTCGATCTTATGTTAAACCCGCACGACTGCTAAGACTTACTGAAGTGTATTGTCAGCGCCGTGATTTGATACGAGTACAATATTCTTAAGTAATACACTTAAATTTGAACTTTTATACAAGTACAAAAAATGAGCACTTTATTATAATTAAGGTTATTAGAAATTAAATCCCTGCAGAAGCCTGTCGCGCGTACTGTATGATAGCCCGAATACTTGAGCTGTTGCAACTATTCAAACTTCATACTAGTTTTGATCTTATAACAGTAAAAGAACCCCAGTATAAGCGTCTTATTTCCTAATATGATACACTCCGCCAGAAATGAAAGACTCTGAGCTTCGTGAGTTACATAATGTGCACAAGACATTCTCTCCTTCTCGCCACATGATAGAATCAACTTGCATTACCTCACAACTAATTTTAAATAGCCACCGAAGATCGGATAAAAAGAAAACACCAAAATTGTCTGTCAAAAAATTAAATACCCCAGAGATCTTTAAACAAATTTAGGTGTGCAGAACACGGTATAAGCGCTCTACACTGCAACTGGATTATATATTCAGTGAGTGTTTTTAAGTGACTATACCAGTCGATTATAATAACACATTGCATTTTAAATTTTTGGATTAAGACTGCCACTGAGTAAACCAGAAAATGTCGGTGGAAATAATTTATAGGCTCATTATTTTTGCTAATCTTATGCTATGGGACATAAAATATTTCAGAAGAATGAGAAATGGAGAGTGAAAGTATACACAAGATAAAGTAGGTAATGGTTAGGTAATTATGCATAGCTTGAGTTAATAAAAACAATTTACGTATGAAAAACCACAACACTTTTTCTACTGTTTCAAATCTCTGAAAACCTCACACATGACAAGTATGGCATATTATTGATCAACATATTGCATTAAATAGGTTAAGCTTTACCTTAATAGGCACTACTTCCTTCAAGATAAGTGGCTTCTGGATTTATATAGAGCAAGTTGAAAAAAATTGCATTTGATAACTTAATTTTCTTATATGAGTAAGTCTGGCTAAACTTAAGGCCCTTATTCAAAACGAATCATTTGTTTATATAAAAAGCAAAACATTTTATTATATTAGTTACTTTACATTTTTATCTAAACAATTTTTTCCGGGCATTTAATTTTGGTTTTTCGCTATAGGATACATATATTTTTCAATTCATTCATCTATTATTAATTTATTTTAAGAAACTAGATTTTGGTCTTCTATTCAGTTGATATTTTGTATTTACACGTTTTTCTTAGATCCTATTTTTCAATTTTAGCTTTCACCCAAAATTGAAAACACTTAAGTCCCATAATGAAAAGTACCTTATGATTTTGTTTTTAAAAAAATCCATAATAGCAATATTTCAATTTGTATTAACCTTAAAGAAAATTATATGACATTTACATCAAATAAGTTTTTATTTTCCACCTGTTTATCTTTAAAAACAAATCATTTATTTATATAAAAATCGAAACTTTTATATTTTTGTTTTTAATGTTTTTTTTCCATCTGATGCTAAACCCGCACGACGGTTAAGACTTTCTGAATGGTTTTGTCAACGCCGCGATTTTAGACGAGCATTCAACACAGTAAATATTTTTAATTATCCTAATTAAAAGTATATATTTACAATTATCGTAAAATTACTAATGAATGGCCAAACAATACTTACAAGCCTAACAACACTGAATAATGGCCGAAGCGTCTAAGATTATACTTAAAATGCTTAAGTTACTAAGTGTATAAAAAAAATACTCTTAAAAATCGAACATTACCAAATAACCCTAGAATTTAACCTGCAAGTTTGCATTTTCTAAATAATGACCCCTACAATTTCTTTTCATACAATACTTTAATTATTGAATAATTATCCTATGATCTATGTTTGCATGATGTACGTTACTAAAAAAAGACTAGTATTTATGTTGCGTGCCCAACATTACTAAACAATGACCCTAGTTTTATAGATATATATTAAAAGTAATAAAATTATAAAATAATGATCCCCAGAATTTAGCTTGCATTGCTTAATTTACGAACTAATGATCCCTATGATTTATGCTCACTAGATTCAATTATTCAATAATAAACCCTATTATAAAGTCTTAAATCACCTCCTTAAATGATCCCTAGAATTTGTGTTTACAATATTTAAATCACTGAACAATTTCTCTATGATTTATGCATTATTACAAAAAATTACCCAAGAATTCTTGTTGCAAGCTAAACATTATTAAAAAATAATGACCATATGCTCGTCGAAAATACTTAATAAATTAGTAAATAAGGATCATAGAGTTTGATGTACTTACAAGATTAACATTACTAAATAATGACCCGAGGGTCTACTATATATACTTAAAAGACAACTTATTTAAGCAATGACCAAAGAAGACATACTTACAAAATACTATTACTAATAATGACCCCAGAGTCATTGATATGCTTGCTTAACTTACCAAATGAAGAACCCCTGGAAATTAAGATTGCAATGCCTTGTGTTATATATAATAACAAATCTTAAATTAGAAAATTATGCTCCCCTATGATTTACTCAATCACATAGGATATATGATTACAAGTCTTAAATTACAAAATAATAGTCACAATTGTGTTTGCATAACGATGACGCACATTGCTAAAAAAAATTACCATACTATTTATGTTGCAAAGAGTTAATGTACAAAATAATGGTCCCAGAATTTTTGCATGGCTTAAATTACCCATAGGATATATACTTACAAGACAAATGACTAAATAATGACCCTGAGATTTATACTTACAATAAGCCTACAATTACCAAATAAAGAGTCATAATTACAATACAATCAGCTTTAAATCAATAAATAATGACCATAAGATAAAACTATTAGTTTTAAATTAATTGATAATGAACCTAAGATTTATATATATACTTACAATTTGCCTTAAATTGCTAAATAATGGTCCTAATAATAATAATAATTATATAATAATCCCCAATTCAGGAGCATTAAAGAAGTGTTTCAGTAAGGCTCTGCAAAGACGAGTGGCTCTTGAAAAAGTGATAAAATCCAAGTCATGCTCCTATTGAGAAATTAGGTCGGGCGATTCTGCATGAATAAAAAAAAATTACACTCAATTGTCACCTTTGCTTAAAAACACTGCGTCTCCTGAATTAAACTGAATTTTTTCATAAACAGTATGATTAAAATCATTATACTTTTATACCCAATATTTTGGGGGGGGGGAAATTATTTACATGGTAAAGAGATTTATTAAATCTATGTATTGTCTTTTTATATGTATAACATGTATATGTTTAATGTTTTTGAAAGAAAAAACGACAAAAACAATCTTCAAATGAATATCAAGCGTTATTGTAGAATTATTTTTATGAAGTTTAAAATAATCATTAACTAACAGTCACTAAACACCAAACGTTTCTTGTCAATTTGTAAAATTAATTTTGTGGTGATGCTTTGTCTGTCACCAGAGTGCTGACAGACGGCCTTAGTGGTTCTGCAGTGACCTATCATCAGTCTAGTGCCACTACTTCATTTTTGGATGTTCACATTGAGCTATCCCACAATTTCACAGTAGGCTTAATTTCTCGCATTTATTTTTATTTGTTTTGCCATTCCATAGTAAGTAAAAGCCACAATTTGGGCAGTAGCCAAGGGATAGAAAGAGCATTTTCTAATTTGTAATAGTATTCTGGATGTAGGGCTCATGCCTTGTTGGTTAAACACAAAAGCACAAAGTTCTTAAAAATATAAATTGCATTAAACTATAACTATATATGATAAGGAAGGGTTTAAAATAGATTTCACAAAAGAAAATCCTGCTTTATAATTAATGTATTTACATTTCTTGTCTCTTAGAAAAACGCACGATAGAAAATTATACATAACAGAAAATTAAAAACATATGACACATCAAAATAACAATGTTTAACGCATATATTTGTGTTGTCTACAAAAAGCTTTCATTATCTCTTGAGGTCACCAGCGTCTTCGATAAATTCTTCGTCGATGATGGGCCACTTTTCCGGTATAACGTCAAAGAGGTCGTCTTTGACATCACCCTGGATTACGATCTCATCGTCACCGGTGACGGAGGAGCCACAGGCGAAGCGAGTTCCAAAGAATTTACAGGCAAACTTAAGGTCGATGTCGAACGAGCTTAGACCGGTGACAACGGTGACAGATTTCTTCTTACCACGCGGTGCCCTCGAAATCACTACCTGTAATATAAAAAAGTGAATGCATTAATTTTAATTCATCAATAAAAATATAAAGTGATTTCTAATTTGTAAGAAATCTTATAAAACATTGCACTTTGGATTGTGTTCAATAACAATTTTCTAAATAAAATAGTATAGTAGAATAGTAGACAAAAGTCAAGAAATTGAAGAAATACATAGTAATATCTGAAGAGAGGATTATTATACACAAAGAAATAATAGATGAAATTTCTGCTCCTAATTGAATACTGAGGCCAGGCTAAGAAATGAAAAACATACAGAAAAAAAATTTATAAAACTGTTTATCACATTTAAAATAATGGTGATAAAATGAATTATAAAAATTATAATAGCATAGCATACAGCCTGATAAAAGAGGCAGTAGCTAGGTCAACTGCATTAAGTAAAAAAATAAAATTAAATTTAAAAAATAGCTTGTCCTATAAATTTAATGTTTAAATCAAGCTGATTTTATTGTAATCTGTTGGAATATGGTCAAAATTTTCCGGGCACTTCTAATAACCATCAATCTTTTCCCCTAACATGTTTCCATTTTCTTTACTAAAAGTACTTCTAATCACCAGACATTCTAATAAACAGACACTGACACTATTTTACAAATTTTTCAATGAAAAAGTCTCTTATAAGTGGACAGAATAAAGACATCAACTCAGGATTCCACAAATGAGAAAGCACAACCCTCTCAAACGCCTTGGGCACTTCCCTGTCAGTTCTCAGTTCACTTAGTCAGTTGGATTGTGATTTTAATAAGCCAATTCAAGAATGAGTGCAAAAAAAGTATTCTTTCTCAGATATAAATTGGAAATGATACAAGCCCATTCCCAAGTGATGTCTATTAATGGGAAATTTGATTGTGTTTGCTTCTCTAGACTTGAAGTAATCAAGCGATGGGAGATAGAAGATCGCATCAATTAGTAAAGTTGAATTTGTGAACATTGCCCCCTGATACCAATATGCAACTTGATTTTAGTATGCACTTAGTGTATTTATGACCCTAGGCATCCATACTATAATGTTAAACTGACTGAGATACTGTCTGAATATGTCCGATTGTTTAAATATATATATAATATATTAAGGATGACATAAGATCACAAGAAGTACCGTTTTATATATTCTTGCAGTATTAACACTGACACTGCCATTTGTTAAAAAATATATAAAAGTTTGGGTCATTATAAACCCATTTTCTAAAATAATATTAAGATGTTTATTTAACAATAATAAGATGTTTTTATTTTATAATGTTTATTTATTTTGCCCATTGCTTGGTAAGTTGTCTTTTAAGCATGTATCATAGACCCTACAGCCATTATTTAGTAATGTTAGTCTTGCAAGTATATATTCTTTAAACATTTTTTAGTAAGTTAGATCATTTAAGTATTTTCTATGAGCCTATGGTCAATAATGTTTAGTTGCAACACGAATCCTTGGGTACTTTTTTTAGTAATGTCCGTCATAGAAGCATAAATCATAGGGAAATTATTTAGTGATTTAAGTATTGCAAACACAAATTCTAGGGATCATTAGTTCGTAATTTAAGGAAATTATAGGGGTTATTATTGAATAATTTAAGTCTAATGATAGTGATAGATAATTTAAGTCTAGTAAGTATTATTTGGTCATTGTTTAGTAATTTTAAGATAGTTGTAAATATCGCTTTTTTTCCTTCTGATGAACCGTCTAAACCCGCACGACGGTTAAGACTTTCTGAAGTGTTTTGTCAACGCCGCGATTTTAGACGAGTATTCAACACAGTAATTTTTAATTATCCTAATTAATATTATATATATAATGATAATAATATAGCTGAAAATTTATTAGAATTTATGAGATTTAGGCCTTTTCCCAAATTGTTATACCATCGAATGTTTGAATGAAAGTTGTGCGTGCAAGATTTCTTTCTTTTTTCAGGAATTTTTGAGGCTGCTGGAGCGGAAAATGAAATGGAAGAAAATACAAATTGCGGGATAATAAACTGCAATGCCCAAAATCGCAATTTAAATAAGAAAGGTAGCGCCCTTAAAAAAAAAATTAAATAAATAGAAATAAAAAGATAAAGAAAAAGAACATATAATATTATATATAATGTGTATTATATATATATATATATACTATTAATTAGGATAATTAAAAATATTTATTGTGTTGAATACTCGTCTAAAATCGCGGCGCTATCAAAACATTCAGAAAGTCTTAAGCGTCGTGCGGATTTAGCATCAAATGGGAAAAAAGCGTTAAAAACAAAAATAATAAAAGTATAGATTTTTATATAAAAAAATTATTTGTTTTTAAAGATGGACAGGTGTAAAATAAAAACTTTGATTCATTTGATGTTAATGTCATAGAATTTTCTTTAAAGCTAATTCAAATTGACATATTGCTATTATGGATTTTTTAAACAAAATCGTAAGATTTTTTTATTATGGGGCATAAGAGATTTATTTTTTTATTTTGTTTTATTTACTTTTTTTGGAGAAAGATAAAATTGACAAATAAGATCTAAAAAACGTTTAAATACAAAATAATAACTGAGTAGAAAACTAAAATCTAGTGTCTTAAAACAAATTAATAATAGACGAACTTATTAAAAAAATATGTATGCAATAGCTCGATTATTCGACTAAATAAGCCAAAATTAAATGTAACTTGTAATTATAAGGTTTATTATTGAATAATTTAAGACTAGTGAGCATAAATCATATGCATCATTATTTTGTAATTTAACCCCTTTAAATATATATCTATAAGCCTAGGGTCATTGTTTAGTAATGTTAGGCTTGCAATGTAAATACTACAGTCATTTTTTTAGTAGGTACATCTTGCAAACATAAATCCTAGAATAATTCATCTGACTCCATTATTATTATTATTATTAGCCATACGAGCCCTCTGGGAACAAAAATTCAGAATTCTAATTTAAAAAAATAAATAAATAAATTTTATATGTAATTTAAAATGTGATTTTTGTATACATTTGGCCTTCCGAATTAAGAATTTTAAAAAGAAAAATTAAAGCTTGGATGGCAATAGGATAAATTAGATTACGAGTGAATGTTTGGAGTCAGAGCTTTATAGCATTCAGAAGAGATATATTGGGTTGTCCGGAAAATAATGCAGGATTTTAAGTTTTCATTAAAAAAAATCTATATAAAATATTCTGTTTACGTTTACAGGATTACTCATTNGGGAAATTATTTTGATTAAAGAACATTGCTTTAAAGTAACTAGTTTCTTTTTTTTTGTTTAATACCAAAATCCTGCATTATTTTCCGGACAACCCAATAGCTAACCTAAGATAGAAGGTTTGGATGTTAGGGCGTGAAATGACCTTAGCCGTTAAAACGCCCTTAAAAATTAATAACAATAATAATAATAATAATTATGTAGCAATTTAAATATTGTATGAAAAGAAATTGTAGGGGTCATTATTTAGAAAATTAAGCCTTGTAAGTTAAATTCTAGGGTTATTTGGTAATGTTAGATTTGTAAGAGTATTTTCTTTCGACACTATTTAGTAACGTAAACCTTTTAAATATATTCTTAGACCCTTCGGCCAATATTCAATGTTGTTAGGCATGTAAGCATTATTTTGCCATCGTTTAGTAATTTTATGATAGTTGTAAATATATATATATATATTATTATTATTTAGGTTAATTAAAAATATTTACTGTGTTGAATGCTCGTCTAAAATCGCGGCGTTGACAAAACCATTCAGAAAGTCTTAACCGTCGTGCGGGTTTAGCATCAGTTTGAAAAAAGCGTTAAAAACAAAATTATAAAAGTTTCAATTTTTATATAAATAAATGACTTGTTTTTAAAGATGGAAAGATGTAAAATAAAAACTGATTTATTTGATGTTAATGTCATGGAATTTTCTTTAAAGCTAAAAGTACAAATTGGCATATTGGTATTATGGATTTTTTTTTAAACTAAATCGTAAGTTACTTTTCATTATGGTGTTTTTCAATTTTGGGTGAATGCTGAAATTGAAAAATAGGGTCTAAGAAAAACGTGAACAAAAAAGCTATCCTGAAAAAAGGCTAGCATATCAATAATAAGTAACAGTTGAAAAGCATGATTCATGGCCATCAAGCCATGACAGCCAAATTGTATGATTCTACTGCAATGAAAGAGGATTAGGGGACCGCGGTAGCCGAGTGGTTAGCAGCAGCAAAGAGGATTAATCAAATTGAACAAGTTCACTAAACATTTTATACATTTGTAATACTCTTATAATACTGTCACTTTCTCAGTACCCAGGATCTATATCCTCATCCATGATGTAAACAGCCACTTCATATAAAGTTACGAGGCAAGGTCATATACACAAGGATGGAACGCAAGTTCTCATCAAGGTGGTCCCAGACATGCAGGATTCACCAAATGACATTGGAGGCAGTGACAGTTCAGTCAGAGTCAGAACCAGATTTAAAGTTAGAGAGTCAGACAGAGAGAGATCAAAACCTGAGTCCACAGTCTGAGTTTGAAGGTTATGTCTGCCTGAGGAATTCGTCATCAGAAGAAGGTATCCTGCAATCCACTACTACAAAACCTACAACCCCTAGAAGACTCGCACTTTTCAATCGACCCAAACTATTGCCAGGCCCAAAGCTGGCAGCCATAACAAAGGATGGTATGGCAAACAGCATCAAATAAATTGATTTTCTCTTTGATTGGAATAATAACATTTGAAATAAGTGATATATTTGTCACGATCTGTTCTCGATTCAACAAGACGGGCCCAACTGTGAATCCTTTTTATGAGAAACAGAGCCCCAGAGGTCTTGATCGAACAGCCGATCAGGTGCCTTTTTATAATAAATTTAATTAAAGTTTAAAAACAATTTATTAAACACACAAGAAAATAATAAATAAAACCAATAAATTTCTTTTTAAATTTTAAACAAACAATTGAAACTTTTTATAAATTTAAATAAACAGTAATTTCCTACAAAGCGTTTGCCAGACCATTCAGAACAAGGGTGGATATGTACTCACTATTTCCAGTCAATTCGCAGTGGACCGAAGCACTCTATTTTAGGGAATACAACACTTTTGAGGATCGCACACTTCTCTTGCCTCTCATCTACACGGAATCTTGTTCACCTCTCAGACTCGACTGTCTCTTCCCTATTCTCTTTTATTTTTTTACTCTAGGCCTAATGACGAAATCTAAATCATAACATTGTCACTTTGAAATCAATTGAAATGTGACATATTTATAAGTGATAAGTGATATGATTTTTTTTTTACAAAAACAGCGGCTCCCTGAGGGTTCACATAACCGCATAGTTGAAATAACCTCATTTAAAAAATAAAAATAAAAAAGTAAAACCAATTAATTATTAACCTCCTATTAATTAAAAGTGTGTGGTGGTTAGTGACCGATAGTCGATGATTATTCAGAAATCATGAGATGCGGTTTGAAACTACATCACACCAGACCGCATCTCACAATTTCTGAATAATAATTACTTACAAAATTACTTATAACAATCCTTATTAATATGGACACCAAAAAAAAATAAAATCCTCCTTAGAATTCTAAAAACACATTTTAAGACAGGAGGGGTTGTCAATGATAAGAGAAAATAAGAGAGCTTAGCAGACAGCCCTGCCTGATCCTGTTCTGGACATTAAAATACTCTGAAACCCCATCTCACACAAGATGCAGATAGTGAAAAAAATTGATACCCTGGACCCTCGGGGGATGCTGAATATAAACCTGACACAACAGTTCATTCTTTCTTTTTTTTTTCATTCTTTTTAACACTTATTTTACTTCCATGAAGCCCACCACAAGCAACACAGCTGTAGTCCAAGATGAGGGAGGAGATCAGGAGTTTACAGGTGGAAAATGGTAACAGGAGCCAAGACCAGCAAATTGGATGAAGGAGGCAATACAACAACAGTAAATTTAGGAAATGTGAGGGTACCAGGAGAGGTTCTGATCAAGGATAACTCCAAGGTTTTTAACGGTGGGACGGAAGGAAAGGGCTGGTTATTGATGATAAGAGAGAGAGAGAGAAAGAAAGAGGAGAGAGGAGAGAGAGAGATGGGGGAGGGATTTAAGGAGATGATTGGATCATATGATTATAGCTGTGTACTTTGTAGGAATGACTTTCGGGAAATTTTTTTGGGCCCAGTTGTTGATGGAATTTAGCCTTTCTATATCTTAAGGTGGTTCCAGACATGCGGGATTCACCGAATGCTGAACAAAGGTTCACCAAATCAGTGCAATATTCACTGCTCATCTTGCTTGGCTAATTGTTGGTTTCCTTGTCTGCTTCAAAGTGCACAAATATTCATGAAGTAGCTGAACTCAAAGCATCTACATATTCAGGAATCAACTGTACGTACAGATATCGACTGTAATCATCAATCAACACTGCTATTTATTTTACAATAATAAACTATTCCTAACTAGTACAGATCGTTGTTTCTATCGGTTAGGAATGGATTGGCCCAACTTTAGTCTTGGAGTTCCTCGATCTGTACGAAGTTGCACCAATAATTTTAAGTGTTTCTCTTCTGAATCACAAAAATCAGAAAGAGGTTTTCGATGCATGGAAAAGGATCAACAGTAAGATGAGGCAACAGTATTCTGTGACGATATGTTACTGAGTTTGTAGTCATCGTACTGACTAAGTTGTAACCACAGCTTCACTATTGTCCATCACGATTGGTAGTAAGATGAGGACACACAGCACTTGGCCAATATTCGATGTTTCCACACAATGGCTGGTTGTACAAACCACGCATATGTGTATATGCACACTATTTGGCAAATGCATGACGAACATCTCGAGACTTGGCAAATGTTTCGCAGTAATTGACATTCGTCAAACACCGCAGGTCTGGGACCACATTAAGATATACTAGAAGACTGTCTACAAATAAGGCATTTGTTTTTATATATTGACATATTGTTAGCAGCAACTTATGAAGATTGTCTTTCTATTCTGAAGAATTTTCCCAAGAATGAGAAAGTTTGAAATCAAAATCCTTAAAAATATTCCGCCAATGAGAGAACAATGAAAGCTTACTCTCAATAATTGCTATAGCCATATCCCTGGAGAGAACTGTGCAACAGTAGAACGAAGAGATCTTAAATTCAAAGTGAAGTTTAAGGGTATGAACAAAAAGGTCAAGAGCGGTTTCCAATTAAAGAAATAGAGCTAACTAAAGGCATAGATAAAATAGTTTCCAGAATAAAAAAAAATTCAATTTACCCAAGCTGTTGCCATGCCCAAAGCTGGCAGCCATAATAAAGGATGCAATGGTAAACTACATCAAATAAAGTAGCAATCGGCGTTCGGCAAATACCGCATGTCTGAAGCCACCTTTTGGGATTACCAATGGTAGTTCAGAGGGATAAAAGGACAGGTAGATTTGGGTGTCTTCCGCATAAAAGTGAGTTGCAATACTGGATGGAATCGGAGAAGTCATTAATGCTGATATTGAAAAACATGAAAAAGAGCTGTCATAACAGCCAATCATCAATTCTACTGTTTCTAACATGAACACCATGCTTCAATTATGTTGGATATATTTTTCTAACTGGTCTTGTTGGCTATTATTTGTGTGTGTGTGTGTGTGTGTGTGTGTGTGTGTGTTTGTTAAATTTCGAAACTGTATACTTGTTTGGGCCCTTCTTCTTTCTTCTTGATCTTGGTGAGGCCTTTGCCACCTCTCTTCTGCCTTTTCTTCTCCTCGGTCCCTTCCTCGCTCTCGTTGACGGCCAACTTCTTGAACTCTCCTGGCAGATTTGTCTCGAGCCACTGCTTGCATTTCTCATGGTCCGGCATGTACTCGCAGTACTCGGTCGGGAGCGAGCAGTTGCCGCAGTAGAGCACTTTCAACGGGTACTCCAACGCGATTTCCCCGCTCATCCTACTGGCCTAATCCCTAACGTCAAAGCCTCTTATTTTGAAAAACGAAAACTCACTAACTTTGGCTCATATGTTGAATAAAGAAGCTGCGCCGAGATAAACGTGTCCGTGTGATATTTTTGAAAAACAAAAGTACGTTTCACTCTGACTGAAACCTCAGGAGTGGTTCAGAACCTCACAGAGTCACAGGCTCACAGGACACAGCCCATAGGCCGGAAAACTGGTTCGCACTTTACCCGTTCCGCTTTCAACGCCAACCACACAGACGTGCCGAGTTCCACCTACTAAATCCATATTTCCTCATTGTCCATCCATTCACAAAATATATAACTCTTGAAACTCAAAAACCGACTCTAAAAATAAATAATTTAAGCATAAATAAAAATAATTTTTTAACATACTATTGTACACCTCATATCTGCACATTTTGGTTGTTGGATCTACACAACATACTTTTCAATTGCATAATTTAATTGGAAATCATAGATTGTTTTATATGTATATGATAAATTAACATTATAAAAGCTAACAATTATGATTAGCACCTAACAAAATGCCTCAAAGATGTTAAGCTTTTGGCAAGCCTTACAATGTATTGAATTTTTTATTTCTAATTTTCTTCCAATTTTACTATATGGTCCTCCAAGCTGGTTTGGCAAAGAAATATATTTTTTCTCATAAACTGTTTTCTTATTTATATAATTTTTATTTTTAATAATGTTAAATTTTAATGTAAAAATTGTGGATTTTCTTCAGCAAATAAAGAATTTGTTCTCTCTCACCCTCATTTCTTGTTTTCTTCCTTTAGCTATCTTAACCGTGTTCCTTCCCTCTCTCTTTCTCTTTCTTTCCCTCTCACTTTTTCTCTGTCATGATATCTCATTCTATTTTTTCTACTTTTTACATTCTTATTCCAATTTTTATATTTATATTCTCCTCTCATTTTTCTTTTCTTGTTTTTATACCTTTTGCTCTCCATGTTACTACTCACTCTCTCTCTCTCTCTCTCTCTCTCTCTCTCTCTCTCTCTCTCTATTTCAATCTCAATCTATATCCCATTCGCTCTCATTCCTTCTTTTCGAATATACTTTATCAGTGTCTCATTCTATTTATTTATTTATTTGTATTCTCACTCCAGTTATTTCGCGGTCTGTCTTTCTTTGTTTTGTTCTCGATGTTTCTTCTGTCTGTTGTTCGTTCTGACTGTCATGGGGCAAGCAAACACTACCCCGTTGATGGCTGATGGTTCCGCCAGATCGGGCGACGCTGTACTTGGCGTTGGTACAATGGTGGCTTCTTGGTTTATCCAAGAATTATCCAAAGATCAAAAACAGCTAGAATTGACGACCTTAGTTTTAAAATCACTATAAAGTAATAATATTATGTGTTTCTGTTTATGTGTTATTATTTTGCATTTGACGTTGAGGAGTTCTGTTGTAAAAAGTGTTTTTGGCCATATTTATTTTATTATTGAATCGTGTAGAATTTTCATATTATTGTGTTTACACCAAGAGTGTTTATTAAAAATATCAATTAATTGAATACTTTGAGATATTTTTTCAGCTTAATTTTTTTTATTGTTTGAAAAAACACCAAAATTGTCCGGGTTAGTTGGCAACACTGCTCAAAGTCAAAAATTGGTCGAGCCACTTGTTGACATGTGTTGAACATCTGCTTATTATATAATTTCAGTTCCGCTTTTTATTTATTTTAACTTTACTTCTCGGCTTATAAATTATTTATTATTAATAGTTTTTAGAGTCTGTCGTCTTGTCGAGTAGTTTCTCGTGTGTTGAAAGTGGCCAGTCCGCCCGAGAGGAGGCTTTACGAAATTCTGCGCTGTACTTTTACTTTTAACGAGAGACAATGGATTTTTCTCAGTTGGGAAACGGCATGGGAAAATCGTCCCTTTCCCAAGGGAAGAGTGCTATCGGAAAGAAATGACTGTTGTGCAATTGTGCCCGCATTACGAGGTATTTATCGAAGCCAAGTGTAACGTATCAAAAAATGTAATGTCCAAAAGGTTTTATAACCTTGTATGGTAATTTGTGACATCTCGACTTAATATTCAGGGAGTGAGTTTGCAACTTTTATAAGTAATTTACATAAATATAATACAGAGGAAGTAGCAGTAAGTTCGTGACCTCCATAAAAATACTCTCTGGCGATGCCTACCTAAATTTTACCAATTAAGTTGTTTTTTTAATATTGAAAGAATCGGCTTAGTTTTAAGGGTTTTTTATTTATAAAATGTACAATAGTTAGTAGTGAAACTGGCGGCTTATCCGTTAAACGACAACCCGAGTATAGGAGGAGAGAGGAGCCCGATGCTGTCGACGATGGCACCGTCTGACATCCTGCCTCCAAAGAGGCAGGCGGTCGTCGAGAGGCTCCGGCGGCGCATGGAAAACTACAGGAAACACCAGAATGAGTGCATTCCTAGGTTTGACTACTCGTTCAACAGTGTTGTCGAGCAGAACATGCAAGACACGCTCCTCCTCAAGAAAAACTTCCTCGACAACAAAGTGAAAAAGGGTTCGAAAAAGTCTGAGAAGAAAGATATGAGTTACCAGAATTCCAGGCCTTCGCCGCAGCAATCTCAGCAACAACAGCAGCCGCAGAAGGTTGAAATAAACACTAAATTTATGCCGAACAATTCGCAAGAGTCTCCGAAGCAGGAGAACATGACAAAACTCTCGGTTCAGATAGTGCAGCAGCTCGAATTCACGACCTCATCGTCAAATTCTCAAGTTTCGACGAATGTCACAGTCAAAACTGTCAATACATCTGTTAAAAGTGAAACGCCACATTCCTCACCTGCACCAAGCCCTGCCGCCACTACGTCCGACCCCGTGAAATGTAAAAAAGAACCAGAAAACTCTGAATTTGTAGATCTTGAACAGTGTGCAGCTGCTTTAGAAAAAGACGCTGCTGCAAACGGGACTAATTCATTTTCTGCGTTCCCTGACTTGATCGGAGACAGTTCTGACTTGATAACTTCAGAAGCCTTCAAGGATCTCATATCAGAAATCGATTTCAATCCAGAATTCATGAGAGATTTTGATTTTGACAACAAAAACCAGAAACATACGATCAAAATCGAGCCTGATAACAATGTTCCTCTTGTACAAAAACCCAAATTTCCTCCTCCAACGATAGACTTTTCAAACCCTGAGATGAGCCCCGCAGCACAGACTTTGAAGCAGATGGCAGAGCAGCATCAACACAAAACGCAAATTGGGCATTCTTTTAATCCTAGGCCTCCTGATTCTAATACTCTAGATTTTCAGTTTAACAAAGCTGAACTGTTGAATAACCAAAACTTCCAGTTCAGGCAGCAAAATTCTCCAAGGAATTTCAACACCGATAACATAAAACAGGAAAATTTGCCTGGACAGAGTTCGCCTAAAGTGTTCAGGATGAGTCCAAATGATAAACTCGGATCGCAGTACAAGCCTTATTACACACACGACAGTGAGAATTTTAACAGCCGACAACTGCCGAGAGGAACGTTTCAGATGAACCAGGCTCAACAGATACAAGCCCAAGGGCCAGTGCGGATTTCAATGGCACAGAAGCTTGACGCCGATATAAAAGAAGCGAACCTTTCCCTAGGATCGTCCCAGTCAGTTTACATGACATCCAATCAAGATTCTTGCTGTTCGGCTTCTCAGACACAATCCATCAGTTTTGATAACAGGGGATCTTTCGTGCACACACAGCAACAACCAGTAAATGTCATGAACCAGATTCGGCCGGACATGAACCGCTTCCAAATCCCGATGATGAGGTACCCGCAGAGGATGCAACAGCCGATGTACAACCAATACCCCCATATGAACCTTCCATACCGGCCGCAGCCCGTTAACGCTGGTAACTGGAGGCGCCCCCTCCAAGACCAGTTCATGCAAGCACAGGGCATTTCCTTTGTGAACAACGACACCAGACTAGGTGCTGGGCAAATCCAGTTGGGCAATCTCAACATGCCTCAGCAACAGCGCCTAGCAATGGTCCAGCAGAATGCAAACTCATCTCTCAGGGTTGAAATGGAGCAGAAAATGGAAAGGAGCCCTCAGTGCCCTCAACCTCAATCAAACCCTACGAACCAGTTCTCGGAGCAGCCTTTCGTCGGGATACCTCCTGACTTCAATCTCGACTTCCTCGACCTGCCTTCAGGTGACAGTTCCACATTTTCCGAACAGGACTTTCTAAATTCCCTTTAAAACCACAAAATTATCTTACATTCAAATTCTTAGATCTTCCTTTTTAGTCTTCTCAATAATTCATAACTATGATTAATTGTATTTATTCATAAATTTATTTTTTTAATTATTTGTAGATCTTTATTTTAAGTTTTCTTTTTTTGAAAGAAGTGTTGATCATTTGTTGCCATTCATGAGAAAATATTACTGCCATTAAATTATATGTACTGTTTTTTTAATACACTGCCAGGACAGCGAGTTTATATTTATTAAAGGGTTTAAATTTCTTCCTATGCGCTGCAAAATGAAAAATACTTCAATTAATATATCATTTTTTAATTTATATTTTCCCCTTTGTTTCAATAAATTTTACAAAAAAATATTTATTAGGTTAAAGTAAATATACTATCATAAGCCTCAAATATAAAATGTATCGTTTGAGGTGGAATGATTAAAGAATAGGACCAACTTGATAAATCATTTTTCACCATCATAATTTTTTTAGCAATTCATTTATGTTGTTAAGAATGATAATTGAAATAGTATACATTAAAAAAATATCCATTTCTGCTTTTTCTATCTTATCTTAAACATTACTTTCATACAAGGTGGAAGGAATTGAAATTGATTTTTTTATTTTATTTTTTTAACGGAAGACGATTAAAATAAAATACTTTTTATTGATGTACTATTTTAATTAAGGGATTGTAATTTTTTTTTTTTAACATGATCTGAAACTATTTCCACTTTGATTCTACAATTTAACGCAGGAACGAGTCTGTTTTCTCCCCCAATCACCCAAGCCAACTCAGAATCTCAGAACTAAAAATATAAAAAAAATAGAATGGCTAGCGCTTTTCGAGTGCAATTAGTTTAAATGCAATGCGGAGACCGATTTTGACTGTGATTTTAGTTAACACTTCATACTTGAAATCGGTTTCCTCATTGGGGGAAAAAATAAGTACTCAATGACAAATTCTTCTCCTGTAGCTCAAAAGAAAATATGTATATTTAAAAAGAAAATTAAACGTTTATTTTTCAAGTAGAAGGATCTTCATTAAGGTGTACCTGTTTAGAAAATAATTTAAATAAATTGTTACTTAAAAGTGCATTATAATCATAGAATTGTTATAATATAAATATATATTTTTTAAATATCCAAGCATTTCAATAATAATTTTGTATATTTTGAGAGGACAATTTATTTTTCGCATCTAATCCTAGTCAGACATGGAGATGTATATTATTTCATTTGTTTTATTTTATTTTTTTGTCTAATATATATTATATAAACTATATAATAAAAATTAAAAAAAAGGTTTTTATGGAAATACATGGCATGATCTCTTTTATACAAATAGATGCGTGAAATATAAAATAAACTCTGTGCCTTTACCAAATGTTCTTGTAAATAATATAATAATTATAAAAATTATAGTAATAATAATATTTAGAGAACTAAGGTTGTTGCTAAGGGCAATTTAGTTTTTAATTGTGTAAATTGGTATTTTTGTATTTGCAATATTATTTTTTGCACATGTAATAAACTGGAGTATATCAACATGTTTTCATTTTTTTCTGTCCTCTTCAAATTATAATAAAAAAGAAAATTATAGGTATTGTCAATACTTTCATATTATGTATTAATAATGAGTCTGGTTCTACTGTTAACAATAGATGCATCATCTGTGATAACACCACAGTGATGATGTGAAGAGCACTTATTTGACAAAAAGAGGATGGAACTTGGGACAGTGCATACAGAACACTTTTGTAGGCCACGATAACTGAGTGGTTAAGGCGTTAGACTCTCGACTAGTAGATTTGCCTTTGTAGGTTCGAGTTCCGCCATCGCCTCAGGATTTTTTGAGAGGGAAGAATGGCATAAAAAGTTGACCCAACACTCTCAGCGATCAAGTATTCATGCCCAGCACCTTTCAATAAATGGGTTTCTTCGGTAGAAAAACACCTTACATGAAACCATCAAAATGGAACTAGGCAGAAGATACAATAAACAGTACAGGCTGCAGTGCCCATGGCATTCAACTTTCCACAATCTATCTCAAAAAATTCTTTCAACTTATCCATTCAATTCTAAATGGCCTACTTGAGGACATAGTTTCAGGGTTTTTCTAATTATTTACAGTGAAGAACCACGCGCACAACTTATTGTATATAAAAAATTAACATAGAGCTAACATAGTATCTAATAATATTAAGATCGGGGGCATATAGTATCTGCGGCATCGGTGGCCACAACAGTTTAGGCGTTATCATGGAGATCATCACTGTAACTTGAAAGTCCCAGGGTTGAATGTAGCATTCAAAAGCTGTATAGTTACAAATGGTTTTTTTTTTCCCAAAAGGTCGGTACCTCGAGGGTTGATATGACCTCTGCTGTTGCGAACCCTCGTACAAAAAGTAAAATTAAAAAGTGCAAATATTAAATTAGTAGAAGACCAAAATCGTAACAGTGACTGGAAATAAATTAATAATAGGTACATAAATAAAAAAAAATAAATATGCTTTAACTATTATGCTTTATATTTTTAAAGAGGGGCATTAAGTTTTTTTTTTGCTAATTTTTGCAATACTTAAAATGAGATTTTTTTAAAAAAACACCGGACTCCAAGGATTCATGTAACCTCTGCTGTTGCGAACCCTTGTACAAAAATAAAATAATGCACAAATATAAAATATCAAATTATTAGAATATTAGAAAGCGACAACAAAATATTAAAAAACCAAAATTGAAACAGTGTAAGGAATCGCAAGGAATTTGTAATGCCATTATTTGCTCTGATTCGAAAGCAATCAAAAATAATTTCTCGGTTGACCCATACATCTTAGAAATTCACAAATATCTCTATGAAATCAGAACACGAACATGGTATTCGTTTGGGTTCCTAGTCATGTCGGCATTTCTGGAAATGAATAAGCTGATCAACAGGCAAGGAACGCTGCAAACAATCCACAAAGAACAGAACAATTTCCTCTCCACCCAGATGATATAGTCGTTTATGTTAAAAACATTATCAAACGAAAGTGGGTGGCAAGATGGAATGTCTGTAGAGATAGTATGAAAGAAATTAAGCCAGTTGTCCATAAATGGCCAACTGAGGAACTTGAGAGAAAAGAACTTGTGATTCTCTCTAGATTGCGAATAGGTCACATCAGGCTTCACATAATAGGCTTTTAATAGGCAACAACCTTCCAACTTGTCCTCGATGTATACGAAGTGGTGTACATATCATTCTGACAGTAAAACATATTTTGGTCGACTGTCCCACTTTGCAACCCTTTAGGCAAAGGCTCAACCTTTCAAGTCGAATGGCCGCCTACCCTGCATAATATATATATATATATATAACCTTTCAAGTGATTTACAGGAGTTACTGGGTCCGCAGTGTTTCTTTCGAAGAGCACTTTTCAGTTTTCTCAAATTTATTGGAATTTATGAGATTTAGGGCTTTTCCCAAATTGTTATACCATTCAACGTTTGCCTGCTAATGTTTGAATGAAAGTTGTGTGTGCAAGGTTTCTTTTTTTTCAGAAATTTTTGGGGCTGCCGGAGCGGAAAAATGAAATGGAAGAAAATACAAATTTCGGGGTAATAAACTGCAATGCCCAAAATCGCAATTTAAATAAGAAAGATAGCTCCCTCAAAAAAAAAAAAAATCAGATTTCTAATTTAAAAAAATAATAATAATAAATTTTATACGTAATTTAAGTGATTTTTGCATAATTTGGCCTTCCAAATTAAGAATTTTAAGAGGATAAATTAAAGCTTGGATGGCAATAGGATAAATTAGTTTACGAGTGAATGTTTGGAGTCAGAGCTTTATAGCACTCAGAAGGGATATAGCTAACCTAAGATAGAAGGTTTGGGATGTTAGGGCGTGAAATGACCTTAGCCGTTAAAACGCCCTTAAATATTAATAATAATAATAGTAGGTTAAAAAAAATTAAAAATTAATATGGTATTATTTTTAATTATGTTTTATAATTTGAAAGTGGGGCAATAAATTGTTTTTGCTAAATTTTAGCCTGAGTTACTAAATTTTCTTTACAACTAATAAATACAAATATACAACTGTTATTTTGGTTTTCTTTTAACAAAACAGTCAAATATTTTTCATCTTGAGGCTTAAGTTTTTTCAATTTTGGGCGAAAGCTAAAAATGAAAAATGGGGTCCTCTCTAAATAAAAAGTAAACGTGTAAATTAGTAAAAAGCCAAAATCGTAATGTCTGAAAATAAATTAAAAATATAGATATGAGATAGTTAATATCCTTTATATTTTTAAAGAGAGTCATTAAGTTTTTTTTTTGCTGATTTTTAGCTTGATTACTGATACAAAGTAAAAACTGAATTGTTTGATGTTAAAGTCAGAATTTCCTTTACAACTAATAAATAAAAATAAGTTATGGGTTTTTCTTTCAACAATAAAAAAAACCGTTTAAATGAAAAGTAATTCATTGGTAAAAAACCAAAATAAATTAATATGTAATAGATAAATAAATTTAAAAATAGATATGGGCTTTAATTATTATTTACTTTATATTATTCAAAAGGAAAAAAAAATCAGTGATTTCAATTCACACAATTACCCCTGGATTTTTGACCAATAAGCAGAACAGTGACAATAATGATTAAATGTTGACGGCTGTCAACAGTGAATGGTCATGGATAGGCTACCCTTAATGCATGCTGAATCCCGAATTATTAAATAAAATAATTAGTCATTTTTTTAACAATAACCAGACTCAAATTAATGCAAGTTATACAATCACAAATCATGTAAAATGTACATTTCAAAAAGTATTTATAAAGAAAAACATTTTATTTTCTAAATCCAATGGTATATTTTGTCATTATCTTCATAGTAGTTGACCAAATATGGTTAAAATTGAAGAAGCCATCTTATTTCGTTTATGTTCTGCTTTTTCACCAAACAGGCAAATATCCACAAGGTGTTGAACAGTCTGCAGCTATTGACTAACTTTGAAGAATGGATGCAGATCCAACCAAATGCTATTCATGATTTATAATCCTCGGTTTAATAAAAATAAATACTATATATTATTAAATTCATTAAAGGAGGGAAAATTCAAAAGGTGGGGTTGAGATGGGAAGTTAGTGTCCAAGTGGATCGAGGTCACGATAGCTCAAGTGGTAGAGCAGTGGCGTATCAAGCCAAAGGTCATGGGTTCGAATCCCGCTCGTGACACTGACTTTTTTATCTCAACTAAAAACCTTAATTAATTGAACTGTATATTATTATTGGATAATTAATATGTAAGGTAAGAAAATAAAAAGTGAAAAATCTGCACAAATGAATATAATTATTAATTTAATACATTACCATTTCACATAATATAAGCACTGAAATTTAAACAATGCAACATTATTTGAATTTATCGGTGGAGTAACTACAAATAAATAGAGTATGATACATTATTCCTTTTTAATATTTACAATTGGGATTTTAAATTAATTAAATTACAAAAAAAAATTGTTTATGTATTTACATAAATTAGTGCCTAAGGTGGCAGGGAGAATTCATTTAAAACAAATGCAAATCCGGGTTATCACAGATAGACAATTGATCTACCGTTTTAAAAAGTAAATTGTGAGAACAAAATGTTATCAGCCTATGTACTAGAAATTGACGTTATGGACGTTAATATTATTGATAAATTATTGTGTTATTACTTACACCTTGTTTTTTAATTTTCAACTAGGCATTAATTAAACATCTTAAAGAAAATAATATTTAACATCCCTAAAAAAAGCATATTTTATTTAATCAAAGCTCAAACGGGGGAAAAGAAGATAAATATTTATCACAGGGCCTAACAGTTATAAAAAGTATTTCCTTAAATAATTTGTTTAAGAAGTTCTAAGAAATTATTGTAAACATTGAAAAAATATTTCATTGCACACGTTTATGAAGTACTAGTATTAACGATTTGTACCCTTGTATGAGTAGCATGTTCATATAATTTTGGTGCGTCATGAAGTGTCAAGTCTTATTATAAATTCTAATTCGAAGACTTTCTTAAGTTTAAATTTATTATTATTTTTTTATTCTTTCATTCTTCCAATTCTATACATTACCCTACAAAAATTATTTACAAGAAACTCTTTAGTTTACACTGCTTGGACGAGAGGGGAATTTTTATATATTTATTTTTTGTTTATTATTTTTTTGAAATGGAAATTGCTGCCAATTTGATTTACGACTACTATCTACGTGAATTAAAACCAATTGTTCCGTCTGGTCCTCGGGGCAGGCGAATGATCCCTGCACAGTTCTCCTGAGGTCGCATGATTTCCGTCTTCCCTTGAATTCTCGATATCCTGCACAAACATTCTTCTTGCACATTTGCCAAAATTTCGATTACATTTGAAAAATATTATATACATAATTTACCAAGCCTTTTTTTTCCTCTGCATTTCAAATGCATTTTAATCAAGTGTTCATTGTTATTTTATATTAAGTAGTCATGCTATATTGCAAATTCAGCTAAGCCCAATTAAATAAATATTATACAAAAATAACTAAAAATTAATAATTTGCTAAAATTATAACACTAGTCATTATTATATTCATACTGCAAATATTTAACTTTTTTCTTCATTAACAAATAACCCTTTGTTTTCTCATACATTACTTACTATTATTCATAGATTACTTAATATTATTCATTTTACTAATGTTTATATATTTTGAAAATATATTTTTTGTAAAAAGACTTAAATCCGTCAATAGAAAATAAAATAAAAGTAAAATAAAACAAATTTTTTTTATGATTATTCTCTAAAGTCTTAACGGAAATAGAAAGGAATAAGCACAATTGAGGATGGGGAATTCATGGATAACTGTCAGGAACAGCAAGGAAATCCAACTTCAACACTGGAAAAATATGACGATGTCAATAATTGAACAAAACAGAAAAAAGCCTTACGTTCTCATTGTAAGGCTTTAAATAAGTTGTAAAAAAATAAATAAAAGAGAAAATGAAAACAATGTAACCTGTCATCTAACGGTGGTGGTGAAGGCGTTTGATCTTCTTCTGGACTCCTGGCCTCGCCTAAAATCCTCAACCTTGCTTCTGCATATTCCATTTCCCTCTAAAGCAAAATTCAAAATAGCATCATGTATCTCTGATCATAAAGAGGAAAAAAATCCTTCAGAAACTCACCTGCTGTAAAGTTTTGAGGGGTTGTTTAGGTTTAGTGTCTCCATTAACGTATTTGCAGCCATTGACATTAGGCCTCTGCAGGATTTTAACCGCCGGCTCCGGGGGCAAAAGTTTGGCTCGGAGATCATCTGAGAGGATTATGACAGACGGGGATGAATTGTTACTACAAAACCATCATTGTTATTGTTTTCAATAAAAAATACTTTTAATACAAAATAAAATAAATGCTTGCTATACCTTGATATGCCATTTTGCACCGACGTTATCCTAATTTTTTCTATCTGCTTATCCAATTGCTGAAAATTTAATAAGAGGAAAATTAATTGATGTGAAAAGATAATTTGGTAATAAAATCCATTCAAATTGTAATTGAGATTGTACTAATTTGCCACTGTTAAACTCAGAATTTAAATTTTTTTAAATTTATTTTTCAGTAAGTTTGTTAGTAATCAATAATAAGTTATTGTCAGTTTAGTTTTGGCACTAAACAAACCAATTGAAATTTAGTACTTATTGTGTAATATGTACTTAGTGGTATGTCTTGTATAACTTGATGGGGTCAAATTATGGAGGTGAAATGGCTTCAATGATGTCTCGACCTTAATTATCAAACTAACGAGGGGATCACCAGGTTGGCATGTCACAGTATTGGACCAAACATTTTTTTTTGGTGGTTCTACATTCCAAAATATCAGACACTTATCTGCCACTTCTTGTGAATAGGCCCTGATTAAACCAAAAATTTATGCGACTGTTGTGCCAACTGATTACAAGCGACTGAAACCTAGAAACCCACCCAACTGTTTTTTGTTAAGCCAACGGCATCAAGGAAACATTCGTGTTGTATAACATGTACTTATTACGTTGACTGAGGTTACTGGTATGTAGAGTATGGGGGACATTGTGGCTATATGGAATGTAAAATTATTGAATTTTAGATGTTTATGAAATAGAAGTAGATATATTGTGAAAGTGAAATGGAGATTTCAAAGAGACCAACAAGTCAAGAGTCTTGACCGGAATTACCAACGTAAGCCACAAAGTTTTTTCGCAGTAGGCAATACACCTTGCCCCCTTGTTTTTGCCCCGTAAGTACATGACCAACCAAAAATTGTTATTTTATTATTCTAGGGCATTTGTGTGACCTTTGAGCCAACTGATCACAAGCGATTTCACATAGAAACCCATAGTTTAGTTTCTGTGCTAATCCAACAGATTAAAATTTAGTGCTTGTTGTGTAACATAAACTCATTAGGGTACAGGTATGTAATATGGCTAGGTGGGACATTGTCTATACGAATTATTGAGACGAAATAGACGGGACAAAAAATACAGGAAACAGGGCCCGAAGCAGTCTCGACCTCAATTATCAAACTAAACCATAAAATGTTCAACATGCTGATCTAATTAATTGCTTGCTTTTTTTAGTATTTGATGGCATTCATGAGACCATAGTGCCGACTTATCATAAGCGATTGCACCTAGAAATCTGCAGTTTAGTTTGCGAAACTAACAGATTGAAATTTAGTTAACATGCTTGTCGTGTAACATGTAGTTGTTACTGGTATATAGAGTATGATGGAATGTGTCTGTGAAATGCAAGATCATGTTTAATTTATGGTTTGACGCACGATTCAAGATTTAGAAGCATGATTCATTATGAATGTGATAGATAAGTGGATTAGGGAACACTGGGGGGACCTCAAACGGCCAGAAATAAATAGTTCGGCTAGGGATGGCCTATTTGCGCCCAATGGGGGCGAAGACACGCAGACGGTCCAGTCTTCAGGAATGTACGTTAAACCCTGAGGCAGGACCCCGTGCTGACGGCGGGTCAACTGCCGAATAAAGAAGGGATATTTGAAGAAAAAAAGCCGATTCATCCGAGAAACGAAGGCTGTGCGGAAACCGGCAGACAAACACTACTCACCCCGGAATCTTCCAATTCTTCCCAAGTATCGTAAGTTTCAATGTCTTTATCTGCCATCCTCTCTCGTTTTAGTACACAAAAACGTAATCCGACCCTGGAATATGGGAATTCGCAGTTGTTCGATTTGATGCGGGTTGAAAACGGTATCGATACTCCAATTACAGAATCGTCTCGATTCCGGAGCCTTCGGGAGCCTTTTCGAAAGCCATTTCGTGTCGAGTCGAAAGATTTCGAAGTGAAAACTAGAATTTATCAAACGTTTTTCCGAAAGGGTTTAGAAAAAACGCCGGCGCCCGATTCTTTACGGTATTATTCTTCCTTTCCCTGGTATATTTGGCCAACTATCTAAAATCACTAAGAGGACGAGGTTTATTTTTTTTAAATAATAAAAATCAATCTCGTCCCATGTGATATCCCGAATGTTTATCACTTTTGGGGGTTCAAGCTGGAGAAAATGTCGCGATCGGGTCGGACGGAGGATTTTGATCTCTCCCGGTCAACTACCGAAACCACTGAAACAATTTTGATATTTTCTTCTCACTCAATTGTCGCGAGGAACACCCTTTGGGATGCACCCACTTATCACATGCTGTTTTTTTTATTTTATTTTTTTAAATTATCAACTCGGTTTTAAACAATATGAAACGCTGAACGAACAGAACCCTTGACGGTGCTTAAATACAAAAATATTTATTTGGCCGGGCTGGACGTTTCGAATCGAATCATTGGCTTTTTCGACATGAAATTTTATGATGAAGGAGAACGATTCTGACTGCCTTTATTTAAAGGTCCATACTAATTAACCTGGAAAATTGGTGCATTCACAACTACACTTTTGGAGAAAATCAAGACACCACCCATAAATCTAAAAGTATTTAGGTTTATTCATATTTTGCATATCAAAAATAAGTTTGGTTGAAAAAATAAGCCATTTAAAAATAAAATGTTTATAATCTTACTCTAAAAAAATTAAATTTTTTTGTCCTCTTTAACACAGAGTATTTCCACCTCTGGCACGAATCATGTCCTTTTAATGCCTTTGCATTCCTTGAAAAAGATTTCTGATATAATCCTGATGAATTCTTTCCCTTGATAAAGAACAGCCGTTTTTAACTGCTCTTGGGTGTTAAGATTTGGGTTTCGCCATTGTACTCGTCTCTTAAGTTGGTCCCAAATTTGTTCGGTTGGGTTCAAATCTGGACTTCAAACTGGCCACACCAAGCACTTAAGTCCAACCTTACATACTTTATGGGACCTGGGATTTTCCTGCAATAGCAAGAATCTCAGCAATGTGGGGGGGGGGCAAATGGCACTTTATGTTCTTCGATTATGTTTTGGTACCTCTGTGAAGTTAGAGAACTTCATTGCACAACAAACAATTCGTTGCAAGTGTCCAAGGAGATGTCACCTGAGGAACCGTACAACATGGAGTGTACCTTTCTCCTGTATGTCTCTCTTATCTGAAAATTTGATGCCGACTCCCACCTCATCTGTAAAGAGACCTCGTCCCCAATCTATCAATGTCCAATCCACATTTTCCCGGGTCAATTGAAGCCTGGTTATTTTCTGAGCTGGGATAATAAGTCTGGTTCCAGGACCCCATTATTTTCTTTGAACCTTCTTACAGTCAATCAACACATTACGAACTTGTCTTGAGAGATTATATATATCTTATTTCTCGTAATGCTGCTGTTTCACAAAGCCTGATGACAGATGAATCTATTGTCTCTCTCGTTCGTAGTCCTAGGACCATCCTGGCCTTCTAGTGTGAAGCCCTAAAACAAACTTATTCTTCCAATTAATTCATTGATTATTCATGTTCAAATTATTACTTTTGAAATCGGTTGAGTTTTATATAACTGTGTGGTGTTTATTGACCGTTAATTAATGATTATTTGGAGTTTGTGAGATGCGGTCTGGTAGTTTTATATAACTATTGATTCCATTCTATCCAATTTGATTTTTGTGTTCCAGATTTTGTATATAAATTATAAAGTTAAGTATGTCGATCAAATGTCTGTTTTCATAGTCCTCCTCTATTCCTAATTAGGAATGGACTGACTAATTTATATAATTTTAATTTACTGTATACTATAAGTAGTAATTTTAAATACGTGAATGAAAGGGGTCTGTCCTCGATTTTATTTTAAGAAAGTGGTCTGCTGGCTAAGAAATTTGGGAAGCTCTGGTTTAACACATCTCTTGATGGCCAGAGTCTTGAGAAATAATTGGCCGAGTATGAAAAAATGCTCTTGGCTCTTTTATCCAAAAGTGAGATAAGCAATTGTTTGGAGGCTAATCTAAAATCAAAAGAATTATTACAATTTATTAATAAATATGATAATAAGATGAAATTAAAAAACGAACAACGTGGTGTCTGTTGGTTCTTAGTTGTTGTAGCTTCCGCATCACACGGATGATTGTAATATTTTTTTTAAAAAACTTTTTCATGTAACCTTTCGGTTTTTTTTATTATTAAAAACAATCGTGTGCTGTATTTTTTTTCTCTTTGTCAACATAGTTTCTTTTGGAATTACCTTCTCCGACTGCACGGCGATGTGAACCAGAAGACTGTCGGTCACCGGAGGGTCGTGTATTCTGTCGGGTTGCAACCTCAGTAGTTCGTTGTTGACAAAATGGCGGAAAAGAAGAAAGGAAGAAAAAGGAAAGAGGTAAATAGAAAAAAATCAAGATTATCTCCTTTGAAGACGTCTTGGATCTCGCCTCGGGGGTATTTTCCGACGGCTACGCCCACTTTGCCCGACTTGGGAATCTGGGACGATTAGCGGTAAACATGCCAGGCTGAGTATCCCGAAGAGTCATTTCACTTTCATCTGAGAAGACAGTTATCCCGTGATCCGTGACCTGTGTCCGTTTCTTCTTTAGAGTTTAGTGCGACTTTGGCAGTGGGTCGTTTAACATTTTTTCTTCGGATTTTAAAACCACTTTGGTTCATAGATAACGTACCATACGGTAGAACATGAACGACCTCAGCTACCTGTCCTACGCGGTAAGGGATCGAGTTCTAATTTCTAAGACAACATAAAGTAGCAAATGTCTGCCCTATTGACACCTTTTGAATCTACACAGCACATACTCAATTCTTAAAATCACGACGACGATTGTTTATTTATCATTCTCTCATCACAAGCAACTCAGACATTAGTCAGCTTATGTTTGAACATATAACCATAGTATGACAGATTGGCATGGGGATTGTACTAGTTTACGATAAAAACGACCCTCTCAATTCAATTCTTAAACTGTGGTATTTGCTACAAATTCCTCTACAATTTTCTGCAGTTGTTGGATAAATCCTTATTTTATACTATTGCTATTAATCCACTAAAATTGTATAAACATTGTATGATCAATTGTCATGGTTATAGGAATGCTGATGATAGAAACGAATCCCCCCCCCCTCACAACACAATTCTATTCTTCAACTGTGGTATTTGTTACAAATTCCATTTAAATTCTCAGTAGTAGTTTTATTCTTATTTTATACTTTTTTCTCAGTCCATTAATAATGTATAACTGTATAAACGACTTCCCACACAATTTAATTTTTCAACCCTGCTATTTACATGAAATTCCACTACTATTATCAGCAATAGTTTGGATAAATCCTTATTTTACACTATTTTTGTGGGTCCAATAAAAATGTATAAACATTGTAAGATCAATTGACATGACGGTTATATGATTTAGGTCCATTCTTCTTTTTTGTCACTAGGAATTTCAACTGTTGACTAAAGTTTGTTTAATTTTTTCTACATGAATTCAAAACAGTTTTTCTGAATTAAACATTCAGACACGGCCAGCTTATAATGTTTGAACATATAAGCATTGTGTGATGGATTGGCATTGTAGTAGCTGATGATAAAAAGACCTCCACAATTCAATTCTTCAATTATGGTATATGTTGCAAATCCCACAATAATTTTCAGCAGTTGTTGGATAAATCCTTATTTTATACTTTTTTTTATGTGTCCAATAAAAATGTATAAACATTGTACGATCAATTGGCATGATGGTTTTAGTACTGATGATAACACCCCATGATATATGCATGGGGGTTGTAGTTGCTGGTGGTAAAAATGAACCCCCCCCCACCAACAATTATATTCTTCGGCCATGGTATTTGTTACAAATTCCACTTAAATTGTCAGTAGAAGTTTGATCACACACAATAACGTTTGAAAGTATGAACACATGAGTGTAAAAAATGTATGATTTTGACTTATTATAATTTTTATCTAAAGTTTGGTCGAGATGAAATAGCTAGTGTCGCAAGTCAGATTTGAAGCCATGACAGTTAGCTCGATATGCTGCTGCTCTAACCCTTGAGGTATCGTGACAACAGTCATGTGTTCGAATCCTATTTGTGACATTTGCTTTTTCATCTCAACCAATACCTTAGATAACAAGTATAATTAATTAAAGTCGATTGAACTCACAATAGCTCAAGTGGTTAGAGGAGCGGCATATCGAGCCAAAGGTCTTGGATTCAAATCCCACTTGTGACACTACCTTTTCATCTCAACCAAAAACCTTAGATAAAAAGATTAATTAATTGGAATAATTAATATGGTCAATTATGACCACTAATCAAATATGGATGAATTAGAATAATTAATACGGTAATTATGACCACTAATCAAATATGTATTAATTACAATAATTAATATGGTCAATTATGGTTAAATACATGTATGGATTAATTGTATGATGAACTGATTTGGTGGTTGTAGCAGCTGATTATAAAAATAACCCCCTTGCACAATTTTGAGCTTCAATCTTTGTACTAAATTAATCCATATATGTTTAGTGGTCATAATTGGCCATATAAATTATTTTAGTTAATTATCCTTTTTATCTAAGGTGTTAGTTGAGATTAAAAAAAGTTAGTGTCACGAGCGGGATAGACAAAAAGAATAACTAATTTAAATAATTAATGTGGTCAATTATGACCACTAAAATATAAGTACTAATATAATAATTACAGAATGATTAATTATTAAAAAGAATAATTAACTCAAATTTCTGTACATTATGAAATTGCTCCATGGGGGTCTGGCTAACGAGTAGGGCATAAAGTCCTCTTGTATGGTAGGAATCATTTAACTTTATGGGATGCAGTACATATTGACAATAGTGACATATAGTATATATTAACCAAGATCATAAAAACCATTCAACTAATTTGTTCTTGCAAATGACAAATGTATCAAATGGTATTTTTATGCTGGTAGATGTGTTATCGTTAAAACTACACAACTTACACAATTAAGCATACGTGCAAAGTGGTTTTTCATAAATTATGTTATCAAGCAGATCAAACAATCAAATGAAATAATTCTTCCTTTAACAAACATTTGCAGTCTTGGAATACTGTTAATTTTGTAAACAACAGTACAAACCGAATTGTTCCTTTAATTGTTGCCAGAAGATTATTTGTATTCATAAATTTATCACACTTGTTTCAAAAGCAGTTCAGAACCAAAGAATTCAATTGAAACTATTTAATATTATTCTAGTCACTCAAGGAGAAGTAAAAATCGTTTTAATCTTGTTGCTGAGATGAGAAGTAATCATTTTGTAAAATATATAACTTTTGATAGCTGATCTGGCAATAATATTTATCTGGTCTAATTTCTGATAGAACTTTGATGTAATTAGCAAAAGCAGCAAACAAAATGAGCTTACATTTATGTTTCAACCACATGGATTGTAAAAAAATTATATCTATTGTGATATAACATGTTTAATTAATTGATCAATAGTGCACAAATGTTAGCAGCTGCGTAAAGAAACATTATTATAGATTCTAACAAGGGGAGACTTCGATTGTGGAATCACTGATTACAATAAAACTTTTTTAGTGCTATTAGGTGGAAAAATATTAGTCATGTTTCTGAGGGTTCTGCCCAAAGGGCCCCAGGGGCCAAGAAAAAAATAACATTCCACTGCTCATAGCTCTCTCAACAAATTCGAATAAAAATTTTAAGAGATGTTACGATATTGAAAGATATTAGACATAACAAACATTAACAAGGGTTTGGCAAAATTAGCCCGATTGTAATAAAATGTTACAATATTATGGCATATTCTGGCTCTGCAGGAAAGGCTAAAAGTTAATTGATAAAAAATATTCAACATTGCTGTAATGTAAATCCAAAAAAAAGTTTACCAAAAGTCGCTAAAAAAGTTTTGTAGAAATCAGTGACCTCACGACCATCTATGACCCGTGCAAGACAACTCAAACAAGTACATTAGGACCATATTGAAGTACCACAATTCCATACACATTTCATTTATTTTGAGTGAAAGATTGTATTTCAATTGTAATGCATATGATATATGGCAATTAAAGGAGAATAAATTGATTAGTAATTACTATGACGAATGGGTTGTTAGAAGAAAATTGGCGACCAAGTACAATCATGGATTATTATAAGCTAAATTTAAAAGTTGGCTGTTGATTTTTACATTAAATTATGTTAGTAATTTTCTTTATACATTTTTAGGAGTATCCAGATCCAGATGAGAAACCAGAAAAGCCAAGTAAAGATGAGTACACTATCGCTTCATGGCTCAGAAGCAACGTTCCTACAAAGAAGACCAAATTTTTTAGCCACAACGTTCAGTATTTTACTGGTAAGAGAAATTCGTGGAAGGTTGTACGTGGCGAATTGACTTTGAATCCAATTTTCAGGATCGAAAGCAGTTGATGCGCTTATGGCGTCAAAATTCGGGACGCCTGCCAAAGAAGGGGAGGAACCTTTCTTTACATCGCGTGAACATTGCATCAGCTTTCTTGACAAGTTCTGTAAATTGATTAAATGATTTTATGTACTATTTTAACTAATTTATAAATAATTTGTAGTATGCTGAGGCATAAATTCTTTCACCGGGCGAAAAAAGTCGCCATAAGTGAGGACATGCTGAAGCCGAAAAAGAAAAAAGACTCCTCAAAAACCGATGACAAAGATAAAAAAGAAAAAGAATCCAAAAGCAAAGATGATGATCAGGCTGCTGAAAGTAGCCATGCAGAAGGAAAAGGGCAAGAGGTAAATCTGTGAAAAAATTTCTTACACAAGCTGTTATTTTAATTAAATTATTATTTTTTAGCAATCAGAAACAGAGGATGAAAGGAAGAAGAAAAAGAAAAAGAAAGTCAGGCTAGAAATGCATCTTCAACAATTTTTCGCTGACAGTCTGGACGCTTATGTTTGGATTTATGACCCAATCCCTGCTCATTATTGGTTCTTTGGTTTTCTTGTTGTCTTGGCTGGAATTGGAATATGTCTCTTTCCTCTTTGGCCTCCATCCGTCCGGTACTATTATTTTAAAATTAACTCAACTATAATATAATTTTATTATTTTTTATTTTTGTAGGATGGGTGTATATTATTTGAGTATGGCTGGAGCAGGCTTTTTGGTATTTATTATCGCATTGGCGGTTTTGAGATCGGTTATATTTTTCGTGATATGGGTGATGACATTCGGCAAACACCATTTCTGGATTTTTCCAAATCTGACCGAGGATGTGGGAGTTATCGCTTCTTTCTGGCCATTATATGAAGTCAGTTCATTAAAATTAAAAAAAAAATATATATATATTCATCAATTTTTTAAATTTTTATTGCAGTACAAATACATTGGTGATGATGTTGCGGCGACCAAGAAAAAAAAGAAGAAGGAAAAACTTTCAGACAATGAAGAAGAGGACACTAGAAAGAATGTAAAGGAAACTACTGAGGAGACAGAAAAGTAGGGATCTGTTATTGCATGTTTTTAATATAATATGCCACAATAAAACAAAAGCTAAAACTTAGTTTCATTCTTTCTCAAACCATTTAGGACGTTTTTGTTTTTCACTTAGACTTGTAGTTGAAGTATTTTCTTCTTCACATCAATGTTAGTTTTGTTATAAATAGATTAGTTGGTGTTTAGTTAAACCTTAGTTTAGATATATGTATTTTCTTATTTTTTTTATTTTTATTTATTTATTTTTTTAAAGAAAAGAATGTTTATTTTATTGGATAAAACAAGTCTTAACCTAGAAAGGTTCTAAGTATTTTATAAAAATTGTGTTAGGTTAAATTAATTTTTCTTTATATTATCATTATTAACACTGTCTTCAATGCCACAACATGGCAGGTAAAAGTGTTTCTGTAAAACCAAGGAAGGAAGTGAAATCGTATGTATGCGTCATTTATTGAATATGGCTTTCAAATTTTCAAGGAAAATTCCAAGGGCAATACCAGAAATTGTACCCGGTACCAACATGAGAGTCGTCGGTTGATGAAGTAGAGGTTGAATATAATAGACAAATAATTCTAATAAATAATAAAAATAATATTTATTATATAAATTCTTCATTGAGTTAAAAAACACATTAATAAACGTATTGAGATATTACTGATTTGATTTTAACCATTTAACCACTTTATAAAGCTTTTAATTAAATTAATACGTTAATTTTCTTTTCTTATTTAATTAATTTTCTTTACACATTAACAAGATGGTAGGAAATAACCAAACTATGAATGTAAAAGTATAAATGTTTAAAGGCTCAAAAATCAATATCATAAATAATATAATTTAAAAAAAAGACTAAAACTTAATTGTAAGATAATAAAGAGGTGGGTCTGTGATTGCCGAGTGATTAGAGAAAAATAACCTTTAAATTGATTGAAATAAATTGATTAATCGAATAACCGTGAGGTAGATGTAGTGTTTTCTTTGAAAATACGTGGTAAATGCATAAAGTATTCATATTATGGAGAAACGACCAGACTTATTGATAAAATATCAATTTAAGATTCCTCTATTCTAACAATAAAATTGTATTTATAATGCATTTAAAAGAAATAGTTTATGAAAGTTGACTAATTGCGCTTATTATTTCAAGATTGTTACCTGAAGAGGCCGGCGGAGATGTCAGTGGCAGCGAATCGGAACATAGCAGCCAACAGAGTCAGACAGGCAAGGATTTTGAATTGGTTGACCGCGAGGAGGTTGAAAATCAGTGAAAACCGGCTTTCCTTTTGTAAGTGTGTTCTTTTCTGTTCCATATCTGCTTGAGAATTAACAGTCGTTATGATTTCAGAGGATCTTAGCTCTATACTACGAAACACTCCGTCTTTTTAAAAATGGAATTGACGTGAGAAACATCACAAACACTATATATATATCTGTATATTCGCATGGACGACGAAGGCGGGACATTAATATTGTAAACAAAAGGTGCTGTGTAAATTTAGTATATAGAAACGATATTTACAAGGATCACTATTAATTTTGAAAACGTTTTAAATACATTTAAATTGTACATATTTTTTAGATAAATATTATCAACTATATAGTTATGATTATTGTTTTTTGCTTTCAAGCGTGTTACAAAATTTAATTTTGTCCGATAATTTTTATGCGATTGTATAAAAGTCCTAAACTGTAAAACATTCCGATTTTTGTGGGCATTTTGGAGAAAAATTGGTGGTTGACACAAAATTCGTGGATTATTAATTTATGTTGTTTTCCAGACGGCAAAGGAAGTTTTACAGGTACAGATTTGTCGGTTTAATAAACGATACAAACAAATTCTAAAGAATGCCCTATTTGTTGATACAACATTATATATTTTTAAAATGTATTTAAAATTTTATAATCAGGAAAAGAAATGTTTAATAATTCAAAAAAGTTTTTATACACTTAGTGACGATTCTTTCTTTCATACGTACAGATAAGATTTACAGAAGATTTTGTTGAAATTCTTCCGTTCTGGTCATTGATGAGGAAGCCATTTCATAACACGTCAGACATTTTGTTCTGGATGTCTTCCAGAAAAAAGTAAACTTAAATTGTCGGTTGCGTATTTTTTTCCAAAAAGTTCACAATGGAAAAATGAACCATGAAGTACTTAACATTACAGTGTTATAAAAATTGATATTTTCAAGACATCTGTAAACTATTTCCAGCAATTACCATTCCTCGAGCAATGTGATAAAAACAAGTTATTTACTGACGAATTACTGGTAAAATATAATAACTCCTTATTAATTAAAATTGCAGTTTTAGTAAACCAAATGTATGAAAGCTTTTTTGATCAGTGTTTGTTCTATCAAATGGTAATCACCATTAATCACTTGTTATTTAAACCAATTCAGTAATATCTATTTTTATAATATTCCAGCATCATTCCAATTTATTTTCTCATTTATTTAAAATTTTGGTTCTTTAATTTTATATGCTAGTGTATCAGTTGTAATAATTATATCTTTGGACATTATGTAATAATGGAGAAAAACTGGGAGATTATTAAACAATGTTTTATTCTTACTAAATAAATGTTGTGCTGTAATAAAACTTTTAAGAAAACAATTATTTTATTGACTATATCTACAAGTAAAACTGTAGGTACCACCTTTTCATATTTTTATTTTATTTTGTTAATTATAAGAACAGGTACATTTTATGTAATTTATTTTATGAAGTTTATCAAAATGTTTAAAAAAATGATGCTAATTCTGGCTCACAGATTTGTCCTGCCTATAAATAATTTAAAAATTATAATAGCCGAATAAATTATTCAATGCAAAAAAATTACCTCTTTACATGCCTGAAATAAAAATATTGGTTAAATTAAAATTGTCTACAGAAATTAATAAAAACTAAAACTAATAAGAATAATTACTTAAAAGTCACTTGGTCGATGTCGGTTGATTCGCTGTATATGGAATCACTGAAGGATTTCATCTCAATGTTCACTTGGCTGTCATACTGAGCTCTGAAAAAGTTCACCGCTATCGGTTCACCGAGTTGATGCCTTCGTGCGAACAAACCCACATTGAATCTCGCTCTTGCCGCACCTTCACTAAAATTTGAAATTAGAAAACAGAAAAAAAAATTTGACTATCCAAAATTACCTTTTCATTATAATTTGCTCTTCAAACCCCAATTCTTTATTTTGCCTATACACAAGAAAAATATATCTATGGATACCACCATCCTGAGGCGGTACTGGACCAATATACGCAGTGAGCACGTCGCCAGTCGGTACATCGTCCCCTGGTATATTTCCGACGACCCAATGCTGAAATTCTTTCAGCCTTGGCTTTGACGGATTCGGCATGTCAGGATCTTTTTAAATATTGATATCATTTATGAGCTTTTTAGTTATAGTCACTGTTTATTTACCAATCATGCAAATAAGGTAAAGAGCATTGGGATCTGATGACCATTTTAAAATAGGAGGGTTTTTCGTGTCGGTAGGTGTGAGAATATTTCCAAGTTCAACCATCGCTCTTCCCTGCTTGTAGTTTACCTAAAACCCTACTTTTTTGATGTTGAAATAAAATGAATTTTTATATTTAATGTACTATCAAGTCACATCTATTTATCCATGCCCATAGTTTTAATGTATATCGAATCGTCTATTGCATGGAGATTCAGGTAAGGACTGCCCCATTAGGGTTGCTGAGGGTGGACCAAGGGTGGGGATGGAGGGAAGAAGACTTCAACATTTATTATTACATTAATATTTTTATGTAAGGTATTGCTTAAAATGAAAAGTTAGTGTCATGAGCAGAATTCGAACCCACAACCTTCGGCTCAATGCGCTGCTGATCTAACCACTTGAGCTATTGTGACTTCGATCCACTCGGACACCAGCATATTTTTTTTTTCAAAAAAATTGTGTATAATTAATTGAGTATTTATATAATTAAGCATATATGATAAAGTTGATTAAAAAGTTAAAATTTATATATATACTTAACTATATTTACACTACGGCTAGTTAGACATAAAGGTTTCCTGTATAACAATAAAAGTTCTAAAATTATGATAATATTGACATAGACTCATATTTATTTATATATTATACTTACTATAGCAATGATTAGACTGAGGTACAGCATCCAAGGTTGGACTCCTGGGGCTACTAACAGCTATGTCATTTCAGCAATCTGTTTCTAATTCTAAACCCATTCACTCTCAGTCACTCTTAAATCATTCTTTCTTATTTACATACCGTTTACATATCCAGGAGTAGTAGAGTACTTGTAGTACTAACTGCATCACCCTTTTCATCTGTTATATAACTTACCTAATTGACAGTGTACTCAATATTCTGCCATTGACCTTCTCACATTACACATTCATGCTAATAAATACGTTAACTCTCATCACATGCTAGAGACACAAAACTCAGTATTATATGTAATAAAACAATCCTCTTTCCTCCAATAATCGGAACAGGGGCTCAAGTACAATTTTCATATCTATATAAGTAAGGTCGCATTCCTACATGCTCTCTATATGGAGCCAAGGAATGGCAGCATTCAATTAAGTGGGACACATCGAGCAATCTTTCTTTGCATTCTATACACATACATGGGTTTTGACTCAAAAGTATGTGCTTGAGGGGCCTGTTCTTAATTGGGTGAGAATTGTTGGCTTGTCTATTGAGGTAAGTGTTAAGTGTTTAAATCAAAAATGGATTTAATTTAAAAAATGAAATTTTAACTTTTATTAATATTTTATGGTTATGTGAAGATGTTACTAGTAAATTGGTAAACTGTGAAAATGATATTAAAATGAATGGTAAAGTTTACTTAATCGACACGAGATTATGCTTAATTTGCAAGTTAAAAACGAGTCTTGGTTCAATTTGAAATAACATGTGATGCATCTATTGTTCATTTCGAGTGACAATGCAGTCGGAAAATGTTAATTTTGTTTTCTACATGGTTAATTTTGCACCACGAACTTTAAAAATTTAATTTTTTTTCCAGTGTTTGAAAAAACGAGTAATTTTTATTTTTTGGAGTACGTCGTTGTTTGTTTAGTCACGTGTTGCGTGTGAACATACCTCTACTTTTTCGCCCACTATCCTATCGATAACGTCTGGCACGACGCCATATTCTCTCAGAACTTGCATTTACAACAAATAGAATACTTTTCTTTAATAAATAAATAATAAAAATTTGACTCTAAGCGATGTTTCTCCTGGAGACGAGATGCTTTCGGGTAGCTATAGCTACCGTCCAGTCGATCACGACAAAAATTCAAATTTTTAACCGACGGCTGATTTTGAAAAATATTTACTTTGTTTTGTCTTGTAAAAATATAACTAGAGTTAACAAAAAAATATTTTTACAAAATCTATCTAGATGGCTATCGCGTTTACGTTTGTTTATTTAGAAAGGAAGTGACTTTCAGCTAGCTTTCAACAGTAACCATAAGCATTAGGCAATTTACGGGTTTTTGTGCTAATAAGTATAAAAATAAGTTGATTGTAAAGCATTGATCAAGTTTTGGTCTTTTTGGTTTCCAGGATGAACGAGGATTTTCCAAAAATATTTTTTTATTTTTAATACAAATTAAGCCCTGATAGACTATCCTCGCCATTCTTTTTAAAAAAAAGATAGTGCGTACTCACAGTGAGTTGTTTTCCAACCATCCGGATTTCGAGCCCTTAGCTCATCATCAGGTTGAAGGATTTCTACACGTCTCTTTTTGCAATTCATGTCGAGAGACGCACTCACTCCATCATTCATCATTTCTATCCTCGCCATTATTAATCTTATGAATTTTTTATCAAATTCAAAAACCACTAATTCGTTAAAAAAAGGAAGTTTCATGAATAAAAACGTTAAATAAAGTGGGTGTTGATTAGTGACCATTAATTGATAATTATTCAGAAATCGTGAGGTGCGGTCTGGTGTGATGTAGGTTTCAGAAAAACATTTTCTTTATCGTGCCAACGTTTTGATCCATTACCAACGTTTTTTCCCTTCCCCCGACGCTATATACAAAAAAGTCTTTTCTATACCGACTTCCTTCCCCCCCCCTTCAAAATCCAACATACATACACATAAAACAGCAATACTTCACTGGCACTCTCAACATGACACACAAGAATGGCACAATTACACAAGACAAACACTTTGAGTGAGTAGAAATACTTTGATTGAATATAAAAAATATATTTTTCATTGTATAAATTCACTTTTTTCACATCCTACATGTATTTGTTAAATGTAAACAATGTTTGTAAATCCCAGGCCCTGAAGATGATCTCAATAAAGATCGAAACGTTGGCACAATAAAGAAAATGTTTTTCTGAAACCTACATCACACCAGACCGCACCTCACGATTTCTGAATAGTTAAATAAAGTCAAACAAATGGTAAAGATCACATAATAAAAACAGAAAAAGTACATAGACTGGAAAACAAAACTAATTGGAACAAGATGGCGATATTCCATAAAATTAATACAACTATTGCAAAAAAATGTATATACATAATAGTATAAGACCTGGACCGGTGGCGATGAGAAAAGAATGTTGGCAGTGACAATGGGCTGGATTGTCCAAGAAGCTCTTCATGTCAAAGGCATGACTGAGCGTTGGCCCTCTGATGGCCTGAAGAGCAAGGAAGGGCTCACCCATTTGTGGATAGGCCATATCCGATTGACATATGGCATTGTGCTTTTGGAGCAACCCTCATGAAGGTGTCCCTCTGGGGAAATCTTTCACAGGTCACACAGCAGAAATTGTTGAATTTGGGAGGAGGGGATTTTAAGAATGCATATAGAAAGCAAAAAAATCCTAAAAGTTTTGGTTGTAATGGAGCGGCCTCACCTCAGACAAGACCTGAAGTCTTCTGCAGAACAGAACTATCAGGAGCATTTTCAGTGTGTAAGAAAACGCAAAAAGCACAAAGTACAGCCAAATATTACAATGCCCAAAAGGAACCAGAGAAAAACTTCTAAACATAAAAGGTTTCTTTACAGATACTGCAGATTCTGTGGCAATCTGAAAATTGAAATAGATGAATATGGCATCTGTAGATCCTGGGGGGGGGGAACGGAACAATTGAAGCCAAATTTTTTTCTTTTTAAGAAATTTGACAGCTTGAGATTTTTTGTTGAGATCAATCTGGGGTTGACTTAGTTTGGTCATCTATGATGATCTTGGTTTGATTATCCTTTTTGGTTTCGTTGGTGATTGAACTGCGAAGATAGGCAGACAAGAGCTTTGTAGTACTACATGCTAACTTTTGTTTTAAAATTCAAGAAGGTGATTGATGAAATGTTTTTAACCATGATTATTTGAGGGTAGAGATTAAATTGTAAGTGGTTTGTTGGAAAGCATCTCAAAAATCCACATAATTTGTAAATTTAAAAAATCAACTCCAAAGTTTAAATAAAGTATAACATGTGTTTTAAGAATGAGAAAACCCCACCTGCATTGCAGCGCCTTATTTATTGTAGACATGTAAAATTTGATTTATTTTCAAGTTAAAATGTAAATTTTACTCAATTATGCTTTTTACTGTTGGGATAGGGTAAGAGCCCGATTTTAAAGGATATGAGTGGCCAGTTATGTACGTTAAACATTTGGAGTTTGGAGGAAATAAGAGCACAGACTATCAAAGAACATGGATGAAGTCGGATCCGACAGGTTACAGTGACAAGAGCTCATGGATACCGCAACTGAGTTTGTGCAAACTGTACCAAAGTATCCATATATGTAAAAAAACTGTTGCCTCATACTTGAATAAATGTGTAAAGATGTTGGAGAATTCTATGAGCGAGGAACCTTGTGAAATTATTTTCAATGGAATGAGCACCGAGAGCAAATTGTCGATGATAGAATTCTTGCACCACTTGGGACTCGACCCTTTCATCAGCAGTTATAGTGACGAGACCATCGTACTGGTTGACGTTTCTTCTTTAACCAACCATGGCATTGGAAAACAAGCTCTAGTTGAGTTTTTAAAACGTAAAGTTTCAAAAGAAAATGCTCATATTATGAGAAAAGATGCTTCTACTTCTGTCCCATCATCTAAAGAAAATTCTAGATCTAGTGTTCATAGATGTTTAAAACCTTTTGACAGAAAGAAGGCAAAAACTGACCATTCTCAAATAGCCTACTGGGTCTATACAAATAACACATTAATGCAAGAGGATGGAAAAGTAAATAAAAACCAATTAGCAACTAAAAGTAATAATAAGGTTGAAGATAAAAAAAAAGAACAATGTTTATATAATGAAACTGTTCACTCACTTCATAATAAGAGATCAATTCCATCTAAACTCAACTTACCTACTAAAAAATGTGTTAATAATGTAGAAGAATGTACAAACAAGACTAAAAGCAAGTTGAAATTCAGTAAATTAAAAAAACTATTAAAAAAATTAAGTTGGAAAAAAGGAAATGCTAAAAATAAGACTAAAAGTCATGAGAGTGCCTCAAACTTTAACTTGAACAATGACAAACTGGATAGTTGTACACATACTCCAAGTGAGAATAATTTAACAAAATTTGAAACATTCAAAGAGTTACCAAGAACCCAGTCAATTCGAGTAATAAAAGAGGTGAATTCCGATGACCTTTTTAGAAAATCGAGCTTTCTCTTAACCAAAAAACAAGCATTTTTGAGTGAACATAACAAGAAATTTGCACATTATGCTACAAGCGACAGCAGCATATTGTACGAACAGTGTCAGTTTTCTAACAAAATAGAAAATGAAGCCACAAACAGCATCGGGAGTAAAACAACTTACAAACTAAGTAAGACTGGAAAAAATAATGTTGACGAAGATTCATTCCACATCGGTGATATCTTGATCAACAGCTTGAAATACATAAAACAGGCAGTTGTAAAAAAAGCCCAATCAAACAATGAGCAAAAAAATGCCAATTGGTGCGGTGAAGATAGGAAAACTCCAAGCAAATTAGGTTCAACAAGACAAGCATCTTTCCAGATTCCATATGAGTATAACAAAAAAAGTATTAATAAAGGGCTTTCAGTATTATCGGTCACTACAGATTATGCGCCTGGGTGTTGTCCCAAAGCAAAAAATTACTTTAGTTATTTTTCAGATTTTCTAGTAAACAAATTTATTGAAAGATGAACGGAACAAATTCATTTTATCTGAAAACAATAAATAACATAATTCAAGCGAGATATTTTATCAATAGTTAACAGTAAGACATGGAAATGTTGAAACATTGGCTGCAAAATGTTTGAAATCGATGATTCATCAACGTTGACGATCTCTTACAGGAAAAGGTTTCTTAGCTGACTGAACTCCATTTTGGTTAATTTATGTTTTTAGCAATGGAAGTTAGCCCATTTTATGTGAAAGTGGACAACTCCCAAAACAATTAATTTAAATGGTAAAGTAATTATTGTAAATTATTAAAACAAAAGGTTGAATAAACAATGAATAGGTTTTTATAAATAAGTGCTGTTTACTAAACTTTCCTATTGAAATACTTTCACTTAGTATTAAGACAAAGTGCATGGAAATCATGATAAACTCTCCTTATTGATGTCATGTTTATTCTGTTCGGGCAGAAAGAGAACGTATGAATGAACAAAATATTCTATAGGACAACACAGACTTATTGACATCCATCAAGTTATTGAATTAATCCTAAATGAAATTATGATCTAGAAGTATAAAAGTAAAGAAGGGAACTTTTTTAAATCAAGATGAAGGGATAAGTTGAAAATGGTCGACCAGTTTGACAAACCCCTGAAGAAGCACCTGTGTGTAGAAGAAGCAGAAAATTTCAAGAAAGTAAATTTCTTATTTAAATAAGTGTAATATTATATGATGTATATAATGAATAATTAATATGATTAAGATTTTTAAAAGGAAATGATACTTTTATGAGTTATTTTTAGGGGCATATAGAATAAAATTTAACAAACAAAAATTATATACAGTGCAAGAAAATATTTTTACCGTTTTGAAATATTTTGTGAAGAAATTGAGGGGATGTGGCTGAGAGTCGGTCCCAGGAAGGATATAGTCTGTGTGGTCTTACAGACTATATCCATTATGGATATGTGATGTGGCTGAGAGTCGGTCCCAGGATGGATATAGTCTGTAGGACCACACAGACTTTTTTTATTTTTATTTTTTTAAACGAGGCTTTGCAACAGTAGTGGTCATACAAACTCTCAGGGTGCCGGTGTTTTTGAAAAAAAAAACCCATTTGTAAGTACGTTGGGTTTGAATGCAGGGCCGCGGTTCAAACTCGGGACCTTTACCTTCCAGTGATGAGCCTAAACCGTTGCGGCCACTGATGCCCCCATGCAGACTTATTGATATCCATCAAGTTATTGAATTAATCCTAAATGATATTATGAACTAGAAGCATAAAAGTAAAGAAGGGAACATTTTAAATCAAGATGGAGAAAAGTCATGGTCAACCAGTTGACATACCCCTGAAGAATAACCTGAATGTAGAAGAAGCAGAAAAGTTCAAGAAAGAAAATTTCTTATTTAAATAATTTTAATTTTATATAATGCAATTAATATGATAATGAATGAATAATTAATATTGTTAAGACTATTTGGAGATCATGAGATGCAGTTTGGTGGCCACCAA